GGTCACCCATGTTTAGAACCTTGTTGGTAGAGTCGAGCATTGCCCGGCCAAGATGCAGACTTGTTTAGGGATCGATCTAAGGACAGACACACTTCATACATGTATGCCATGAGAAGCCTATGGCCTATTTGGCTACGTGGCAAGTACGAAAAGAGACCATCGCTGCGGCGGTCGCGGCCGCAGGACTGATTGCGCGCGCAATCAGCTAGAACAATCATTATAATGCAGCTAATTTCAAACTTGTACGTGCATATGTCGAATATATCAACATGCATGCATGACGCGTGAAATGCATGGGCCGCGGTACGCCACTCCAGGGCGGCGGGGTGGCATGTTGGCGGCCAGCTTATTGGTGCCACATGTGCGCAACGTACTCATTGTATGAACTCGGAATGTTTGTATGCATGATGTATGCATATATGGAAGCTAGGATTATGATATAGCGCGCGGCTGCGACGGGAGGCTATATCAGCTGCTGTTAAGCATGCTGATAATGAGCCGCGCATATGAATAACACAAGGCTGACATGCAGAGCGCGAGCTAGACTGTCAATATACGTGAGTCTGGCATGTGGCGGCCCGCCCATGCACGATAACGATCGAATTACATGATGATTTTCAAATGATCCCAATCACATCGCCTGTCAAGACCTGTTACTCAACCTTATCGGGCGGCCGCACCTGGCCCACAAGGATCCTTGGGCTACACATGTTCTCACAAACTGAGACGTAATCCGAACATCATAACCTAGCCTATATCATTTATATGATACAATTCTTTGTGTCAGCATGCGTGATACTTCTCACGGACCGAGGCTAGGCTAGCCTTTTGACAAGCAACCCGCGCTTTGTCACCTGCTATGAATTATGTACTCCCGCTATCGTTGTAAGCGCACTACAGTAGGCTCAGTCCAAAACCTAACCGTCTTTTTCTAGCTACCTACAGCCGGTCGTTACAATTCAAATTTTTAAACCCGGTCAACAGTTGCTCCACTTCTCAGCCGCCAGTTGCATTAGCGCCAACTCTTGGCAACGTCGCGACTTTTTGACATCTAACAAGGTCTTGGAGCTTGAACGTCTATTTGATCATCATAAATGTCAACCCAATCTGCTCGTAGACCTTCCATTTGCGTACCTTGAACGGCAAAAACATACGCAACTCCTTGACCATCTTAGAGCGTGTCTCTATATGACTCGATATGCAGTACATGATATTCCCAGTTAGTAAGGTAGTACTTGGCCTGTACAAAATCGAATGCTACACGTGCCCTACAAGGGGCAGGAAAGTGCAGCTTCTGGAGCGGTCTCGCGTGTTTGACTGCGCTCAATCAGTGCACCGCGTCCCAGGCCTTCCTGAGCACCTTCGTCAGCTCGGCCATTTGGAGCGGCTTTGCGATGTACCTGCCAGAACGCCGCACAGAGCAAGTTGGACACGCGACTCAACGCGAAGGACACGAAGCACCAGCCAGACAATCATGACTATGCTGAACGGGGATTCTAGACGAATCGTCGTCCGAATCTCGGAAGTGATACAAGGCTCCAGGGCCGTCACAAAACTGACGTCACCGCTGCCTGCTCAAATCCGTCAATCACAGGGCGGGCGGGGGCACTGACAGGTCCATTCCGGCGTCGGTGCACGCCTTGCGCTCCTCCTCGAGCACCGCCGCGGTCACGGCCACGATGACGGGCCGCGGGAAGATCTGCTTCCGGATCTGCCGCGTCGCCTCCAGCCCGTCCATCTCTGCGCGCACGCACCGATCACAGCGTCAACATGCTGGACACCGAGACAACGGACCGCAGTGACAATCACACAAATGCAGTGAACTTGAACGGACGGGGATTGCGGAGGCTGAGACTGGTTTTGTGTGAACCGGTCCCCAAGAACGTGCGTACTCTGGTGTCGGCCCGCAGATCCAGCGGCCCAGCGCTGTGTGCGGGGTGTTCACCTGGCATGAAGCAGTCCATGAGGCAGACGTCGTAGCGCTGCCGCTGCAGCGCCTCGAGCGCCTCGACGCCGTTGCCGACGCAGTCCGCGGAGTAGCCGATGCGCGACAGCAGCCGCACCAGCACGCGCTGGTTGATCGGGTTGTCCTCCGCCGCCAGAATGCGCAGCGGGTACTGCGTGCCCATGTCCGCAGGGTAGCTCGCCAGGCTGCTGCTGCGCAGCTTGCTCAGCGACTGCACCGCGGAACGGAGCGGGGGAGCCAAGGACGGGGTCAGCACGGTGGAAGTGACAAGAGGCCACCCGGGGTGCGGCAAAACACTCAGAGGGCCCGAAAATAGTTGGCGGACGGGTTATTATTGGCGGGTGAAGTCGACGTCAGTGTAGTGGGAGATCCAGTTTAGAAAACCTCTTTGGGCTACGCAGCCGTAGAGGAGAGTGTGCTCTCCCCTGCCAAGCCCTATTATAACTATTTTGTGCTTCTGATCACTCTGAGCATTAGAAAGCAAGCGTTCCGAAGCTTGATATGAAATGTCCGGTAAAGCCTTGGATTCCTGTGCCCGCCGGCTGCGCGCGCACCTGGACGGCGGACGCGGCGAAGACGTGGACGAGCGCGTTGAGCAGCTGGGAGGACTTGATGGGCTTGTTCAGCTGCGCCGTGAACTCGATGCCCTCCGCCGCGAGGCCCTCGGGCGCGCGCCGGCCGTGCAGGTTCAGCAGCAGCAGCGGGATGGCGCGCTCCACGTGGCACGCCTGCAGGCAGCGCATGAGCGCGGGGTCGCGCCGCTCGACCTGCCGGTGGTCCACGATCACCAGGCTGAAGCCCTGCCCCTCCGTGCGGCCCATCTGCGACCACCAACAGGACCGGCTCAGCGGGTTTGCTTTGAGGGAGCTGCCAGAGCTCGGCATCGTGGAGAGACTCACAACACTTATGGGGAGCGTCTTGACGTTCCGGAGAGCGCAATTGCAGACATTGGCAACTCGAACAAGGAGCCTCTTCATGCGGGCAACACGTTGGCGGCCTCAAAAGCCCGGTCCTTGTTAGAGACGAAGCAGGGCAGGGGGGAGCGCTCACGAGGTCGAGCGCGTCGGCGCCGGTCTCGACGGGCAGCGGGCGCATCTTCCAGCCGCGGAGGAGCTGCTCCAGCATCTTGGTGCTGCCCGCGTGCGCGATGCCCGCGATGAGCAGCACGCGCTTCTTCTCCAGCGCCTCCTGCACGTTGTCCGGCAGCATGCGCCGCTGCGCCGCGGGGAGCGCGCGCACGCGCACCGTGAAGTGGAACGCGCTGCCCTGCCGCACCTCGCTCTCCACCCTGCGCGCCACGCCGACACACTCTCCGTCAGGCAGACAAATGATTTGCACGGGCCCCAGCTGCCTTTGATCATCTGAGAAGACGAGCTCTCATGGCTAGCGGCAAAGGCTGATACGGCACTTCGACGTGCGAATGAAGCGACGGGACGAGCCTGGCGGAGTCGGACAGTTTTTGGCAGAAACGTAGGTTTTGAATGGGCCCCTCCGCGCTAGAACAGGGTAACAACGCTGGCGACATACTTATGAGGCTCTCTCGCTTCCGAAGAAGCAGCACCTTGTGCCTGATGGACACCGGGGGCGAGCACCATCAGTGGTCAGCCAGCAGCGCCGGGAGCAGAGTTTGCGACTCACCAGATCTTACCACCCATGAGCTGGCACAGCTTTGCACAGATGGCCAAACCCAGCCCGGTCCCGCCTGCAAAGCAGACACGCCACGTCAAGATTTCACAATCCAAATAATCGACGACAAGGTAGAGGTGCGCAGAGAGGTCAGGAAGAAGCATCGGTAACCCTGTCGTAACGCGATATTCAGCGGGTGGCGCTTCCCGACACCTCGAATTCCCAAAATCCTGGCAGCTTCTGTTTTAGGAGAGTGGTGAACCTATTCCATTCGCGCGGGTCGTGCTCACCGTACTTCCTGGTGGTGGAGGGGTCCACCTGCGAGAAGGACTGGAAGAGCGCGTGGCTGCGGTCGGCGGGGATGCCGATCCCGGTGTCCTGGCACACCACGTGCAGCTCGTACACGCCGCCCACCGACCCGCCCCGCGAGCAACCCTCCCCGCCCGCCCCCTCGTACTCCTCTGCTGCGCCTCTCACGCCCTCTGCGCCAAACTCGCCGGACGTGCTGGACCCGGACGCGGCGCGCCTGCGCAGCTTGGGGCTGGGCGGCACGCTGCTGCTGGCCGGGGTCGTCTCGCCGGAGGCGTTGACCGACACGCTGCGCGACGGCAGCAGGCCCTCCGCGTCGGCCTCGTACACCCCGGGCAGGGCGGCACTGGGGCGCGGCGACGGCGGCTGCGCTGAGGCGGGCTCGTCGTCGTCCGCGGTGATGATTCGCGCGGAGACGGAGACGGAGACGGAACCGTGGGCCGTGAACTTGACGGCGTTGGTGAGCAGGTTCACCAGGATCTGGCGCAGCCGCGACACGTCGCCCAGCAGCACGTCCGGGACCTTCGCAGTGACAAGTAACAAACGGCTCACACAGGGCCAGGAGGGGGCGGACCGGAGGCAAGCTCGAAGTGTCGAGCCTTTGAGCGATGGTCCGACGTTGTAGACAGCTACCTCCGAGAATTGATGCTTAGCACTTCCGCACCAAAGAGCGGCTAGATTTCTTGTCTGCAACAAGTCTGTGCTTCCAGTGATGACAAGATCTCAAGGAGCAAGCTTCATGCTCGCTTCGACGAAGCCACCAACTCATGGGCGCTCCAAACGGGGGCAGTGCACTCCAAGAAAACTTTGAAAACAGCAGGCTCCATGTTGGGACGGGAGGGAGCGCGGGTGCGGCGGTGGTCGCACCGATTCGTGGATGTGGTAGACGAGCTCCAGTCCTTTGTGCACGGCCTGCTGCGTGACGAGGTCGAGGCTGTCCTCGATGCAGTCGCGCAGGTCGAGCGGGACCTCCTCCAGCTCCATCTTGCCCGCCTCGATCTTGCTGTAGTCCAAAATGTCGTTGATAATGCCCAGCAACGCCTCGCCGCTGCTGCGGATCGTGCTCGCAAACTCGCGCTGGTCCACGCTCAGGGGGCTGTCCAGCAGCAGCGCCGCCATGCCCAGCACTGCGCAAAGCACCGCAACGCCAATCAGGGGTGAGAATCACAGAGAAGGAGCGTCCAGCACGCACGAGGGTCTTGAGCAAGCGGGATGAGCCCGCCGACCTCGACAATATGAGAAGGCAGGCACGAAAGCAGTCTGACATCAGGAAACCAACGGCACCGGCTCCCACGACCATGCTGCTCGCGCTGCGGGAGCTTCTGATGGAGGAATGGACCGACAAGAAGGACTCCCTCAGCAAACAACAAGCGTCCAAATTCTTTTTGAGACGACATCAAGCAAGAATTAACGCCGCAATTGCTCACCGGCGTTCATTGGAGTTCGTATCTCGTGCGACATGTTACTCTGCACAGGAAATAGCAGGCCCGACAGTCAGCAAAGCGCTAATAGGAGCTATGAAGTCGTTGGCGTACACACATCTCAACCTGTCATCCAGTGTTCTGGTAAATTCCCTGCCTGTCAGCAAAGAACACTAGGCTTGTACTTGCTCGCAAAAGCATCCCTGACCAAAAGAAGTCTTTGATTTTTTATATGCAATCTCCACTTCTGGCAAGTTCTTCAATGTGAGCATATTCTGCCGCGCTGCTGACCAGGAAGGCCCCCTTGGCGGTGTTGGCTTTCTCTGCGGCGGTCTTGGCCTCGCGCAGCGCGTCCTCCTGCTGGTGGCGTGCGGTGCGGTCGGTCATGACGCCGCACCACTCCACCGCGCACGGCGTCATGCGCTGCGGCAGCGCGTGGATGTGCACCCACCGGTGCTCCTCCTCCGCGGCCCTGCGCGCGCAATAATCATTCAATAAGGCGGTGCTGAAGCACAGTGCGTCGCTGCGCTAGGGTAGTCAAACGCGCGAGCTGCGAAGGGCCTTTTGATTACATGAAGTTTAAGGTGACGGAAGAGTCAAGAGGGCGAGCGCCGCTTATGATTTCATTGCACCCTTCTTGGGTGCCGTGCTCGAGGCCACCACTTTACTGGCACTACAAAATGAAAAGGTATGTCGGAAACAGTTAGAAGTGCACGCCCGCCCGGGACTGCGCTGCCTGCTCTCCCTGTACGTTGGTCAGGAGGTCAATAAGCGCAGAGCTTCTTCACGATCTCGCGGCAGTCTTATGAGAAGGTCGGAGCACACGTCGCGAGGCGGCCACTCACTTGCGCACCCGGCACTCGACGTCGAGCGGCTGCAGCGTGTCCCGCGAGGCGGCCAGCGCGTCTTGCAGCGCGGCGGCGTCGGCGGGGTGCATGAGCGCGGTGAGCAGCGCGGGGTGGCCCATGAGGCGGTCCGCGTCCACGCCCAGCACGTCCAGGATGCCCTGGCTCACGAACGGGAACGTCGCGCTGCCGTCCGCGCACAGGCAGTACCGGAACACGCCGCCGGGGACCGCGTCCGTGATCCTGCACAACGGTCGGGCCAGAACCTATCTCAAAAAGTTGCACTCAGAGCACCCTGAAGACATTAAAGAAAAGGTCGCTGGCAGTGAATTGGCCAATGGACCATTATAAGGAGCATTGGAGCTCTGCTGAAACGAAAACATGACGACGGGTTCGAGGGGCGAGCAGACCGCCGGGGTCAAAGCAATTGAAAGGTCTCGCCTACTCTGCGCAAGAAGCAGCAAACGGGGAAAATGTTTTGTGTCACCGTTAACTTAAAGAAGCCATCAGCGAAGTCAAAAGCGTTCTACCAAAAGCTGCTTTTGGGCAGAGTGATTCGAGGAACGCGGCATGGAAGGGATTGGGCTCAGCGCGTACCTCTGCAGTTCGCGCTTGGAGCGCGCGAGCTCCTCCTGCGCCTGCACCTCGGAGGTGATGTCGCGCACCGCGCCCGTGTAGACGCACGCGGTCCAGCCCAGGTACTTGTAGTGCTCGCCGCTCACGGGGTCCACGTACACGGGGCCCGGCACGGGGCGGTCCTTGCGGCACATGTACCGGTTCATGAAGTCGACCTGCGAAATAGGGAGCGCTCAGAGGAGGGGCTAACGAGTAAGAAGCAGGCGAAGCTGTCATCCCGGAGACATTCCTCGAGCTGGGATCCTCAGCAAAGCTACTGAAGACGTCTTCACGGGTCTGGTAGCGACGAATGGACTTTATCCTTCCTAGCTCCAGAGCTCCGCTCGAGACTTGAGTCAGAAAGGGCGAAGCATCATCTTGGACAAGGTCTTTCAACTCGTGCAGATCTCCAACAGTCACCTGCGATTGCAGCTCGAGCAATTTCTGCCATTTACCCCTCAGCGTTCAGTTGGCAAGGCGGCCGATTGGAGCAGTCAAAAGGGTCGCGAATCCATGTCGAAGCTTCCTCAGCCGCTCCAAAACACTTGAGACACCGAGTGGTCACTTTTCTTGCGCGCTAGCCGGTCATCCTGGCTTGGGTGCAGGCTCACCACGTTGGTGCCCTCGCCGAGCCTCTTGTACTGCGCGATGCTGGGATGCTGGTCGTCGGGGTGCACCAGGTCCATCCACGGCGTGCCCAGGAATTCCTCCATCGTCATCCTGCGCCAACCAGAGTCTCCGAGTCACCAATAGTCCACAAGAGTAGGCCCAAACCGTTAGAGCAGAGTTTGTATCTATCACCGTGCGGTAGTGCAAAGTCTTCCACAGCCTGCGTATGGAAGGAACTCCGGGTGCAAGTACACAAGATGCTGGATCTGTATAATTTCTTTGTCCATGAAGTATGTATATTTCAAATTCCCTTTGTGGGCAGTCACTGTAGATCGAGCTGCTCCAGGAAAGCAAGCGACGGAGACGGCAGGTGACCTCCTGTCTTGCACCTCGTAATCGGCAGGGCACGTTCAAATCACGCAACTTATGTTTGGCACACCATGATTGTGGTCTCACCCCAGCATCATGGGCAGTGCGGGGGAGACGCGCTTGAAGAAGACGCCGTTCGTGTCTGCTCGGTAGAGCGCGAGGTGCGGCAGCTTCCAGTAAATCTCGTGGTCTACCTCCTGCCGCTTGCGCTCGTGGATGTCGCGCTGCCACCCCACATACCTGCGCGTCAGCGGGGACGCCCTCAGAGGCTCACACGAAGATCACTATCCGACCTCTTTGCAACGTTCCAGTTTCCTCGACCTATGTGCAACAGTTGCCTCCAGGCCTTTTCCCCAAGTCAAGAGCAGATGGAATTCACAGAATGTGTCAATTGACAGAAGTGGGTCTGAGGGGGTGTATCACAATGTCCAGGGATTTGATGGAGGGTATTGCAGCCGCAGATTTCTGAGGCCGGTTTTGCAGTAAGTGGAGACTCACCCTATCAGCCGTCCCTCGAGCGAGAAGCGCGGCCGCCCGTATTCCTGAGAAAGAATCAACCAAGTAATCAGTGCACAACCAAGCAACTGCAAAGCTGTCTGGTACGTGGTCAAGACTGCCCTTCAACAAAGCAAGGCCCAACTCATTTCGAACTGTGGAAACTGTGTAGATGTTTCCAAGTAAGGGGAAAGCAGTTTCCCTGGGGCCAGCGGTTCACCTGCACCCAGCGGTACATCATGGGGTCTTCCCCGCTGAACTGGGCAATGGTCTCCTGGTCAAATGTCGTGGCAGACGATGCAGGCGTCTCAGGGTCCGCCCCCGGGGTGCTGGCGCGCGACGACGTCTTGATGCGGTACTCCACCTGGAACACCTTGCGCCCACGCACAGCGCCCGCCACGCATGCCTACAAAATAAGGAACGATTGGTGAAGATATGCAGATGGTGGAGGCAGCTGTGACAACATGTTTTGCCAAGGATGTTAAACAAGGAACAGATGATGGGCACCGGTGGGAATGGGGGCGGCTACAGAGGCAGCACGGAAAACAAGTGGAGATAACAAATGGTGGAGAGTGAAAGCAGAGTGCCTGGGAGCGTCACCGGCATGCATGTTGAAACAGACTGCGACAGACAGCAGCTTGAGGAAGACAAGGTCACATTGCCCCTGAGCTGGTAGAGCCCACGGGGGGGCTCTTTGCGTCCAAGTATGCCTGTCCAAATATCTGGCTGTGCGGCAGCTGCTCAGTTGAGCACCGCAAATGCTGCTGCCCAACCTTATACTTGATCGAGGTAACCTGGTTTCTATATGTTGCCTGCTCTCTTTATTGTCAGACAGTCCACGACCACTTACTCAACCTAGCCTGCCGGAAGCGCAGGAAAGGTTTGCTTACACACTTCTAGAAGCGAGAAGAACAGAACTGTGGATGCAGGCTCCCACGCTCCTTCCCTGTGTTTAAGATGGTTGCACTTGCAAGACACTCAGACTGCTTGGCCTCTGCAGGGATGCCCCTTCTGGCGGACGGCTCTTGCCAGCCTCCGCCAGTGCCACCAAGGAACTGGTTTTCTTACCCGGACGTTTTCCACATCGTGCCTGTGCACATTCCTTTCCCAGTCTGCATCGAACATGTCGTGGAGCGCTGGCACCGTAAAGTCCAGCCAGCCAGAGTCCCCCCCCTCCTCCGCTCGCGCCGCTGCGTCCCCGCCTGTCATCCACAGTGCCACAGGCGGACCATGCTCCAGCATCTGCTCGCTCTCCGTGGGGTCCAACTGCGCTCCGAGTTCCGTCACAAAGCGAACCCGCCTCCTGAGCACTGCTCCTACGCTGGACCCATCCGCACTGCTATCCTTGAGGGTTGCTGACAAGAGCCGCGTCACGTCCTCGCACTTCACGCCCTTGTCGCTCAATAAAGCAGCCGGCGGGGTTCCCCCCTGCCCCGCCCCGTCCGCTCCCTGTCCCTGTGCACCACTGCGAGGGGTCATGTCTTTCGGCGTGCGCTTCCCAGGAGGCGCACATTCCTCCTCTCCGCAGGCGATGATGGAGAGCGACAGCCCACTGCGGCTGCGGCTGCGCTTCTTGGAGGCTGGCCGGGAGCGGGCTCCATCCTGACGCCCTGCCACATAGGCTCCAAGGGTTAAGCCCAGCAGTAAGGGGGCCGTTGGCATAAATACTCCCCCCCCCATGCCCACTGGCCCTTCCACGTTGCCTGGCCCTTGATTCCAGAGCAAGGGAGGCTCCAATCGCGGGGACGCCATGTGGGTTCCGACTGATTAGAAAGCAAAAACCAGAGGGGGTTTGCAATGACTGCGCCTGGCAGGACTGCCCTTTCTGTCAGCATTTACGCTCGCCCTGAGTGAATCGCTACAGCATTGAAACAACAACAGGGACACCAGATCGCATATGGCAATCAGTTCAATGTTGGGTTTTGGCAGATAGCTCGCACCGCCCGGGCTTCAGACTCGTCTCCTGACTCTTAGACCTGTTACAAGACTTTGAGCCAGTGGCCTCTGCTAATGACACCGATGAGCACGCTCCATTGTCTATCCGACCTCGCCGCCTGGTTTTCTTGGTTTTCTTGCACCCTGGCAATGGCAATAGAATGGAGCAAGTTGGGAAGATCCGAAATACTGAATGAGACTGGCCAAGGCAAATCTGTTTGGATACTTGCTGTCCAGAGGATTGACGGTCAGAATATCTCCAGGGTTGTGCAATGACGGATTGTGGAACTTGGAAGGGCGCAGCTACGTATTCTCTGCTGCAGAGAAAAAGTTGACTACCAGGACATCAATGGTCGCGCCGCGCGGTATCTGATAACCCGTCACCAACCTACCTATGCAAAATGTACACAGTACATCATGCATAGGTACCGGTATACACATCTCATGTGTTGCTTCAACAAGTCTGACATCTGACAATCCTGGTCTGATGACCTAGTGCCAAACCCAACTTACCGTACGATTGAAGTTACTGTACCGTACTATGTATTGAATTCCTTGCCCATCCAAATTTGATCCAAGCCGTCCGTTATTGTATCGAACCGCCAATAACAAAATTGAGGGGCTCACCATTCCCATGCCGGCCGAACATAACGTCAGCTTTTCAGACACTCGGGCTCAATAAGTAGTACGGTACTACCGGTACTCGGTAGCACGACCTTTTCACACCACCTCAGTTCGAACACGTTTTTCTTCACTTGTTTGATTTCAGACTAGCCTCTTAACCCATGGTTAAGACCCTTGTAAACTGTCAGGAGATGCCTTAACCAGGAAACTCTCTGCTCCAATAATTTGGCAAAAAAAATCACACAAAGCCACAAGAACTTTTTGGTGTGAGAAAGGTCGTGCGGCGTGCCACTACGGGTAGGTAACGACCTACCTATAGGCTATGGGCACGCGGGCACCTGCCTAGGATAATCGTCACCGTCCGACGCGTAGCATTTCACCGTCGATGCAGATCGAAGCTGGCCGATATGAACCTTTGAATTTGAAACGGCACGTTGAACTCCAATCCCGAGTGCTCGACAGAGTGACCCAGTCTGGTAAAAATGGTGACCCATTGGCATTGTCAGTGTCACGATTCACAGGCATTGTCGCAGGCAAGGACTTTGACAGATTTCCAAGGGCTCAAGTCCTTCCCGTTGATCACACTGATGCCAGCAGATTACGATGGGTAGGCCGCAGGATGGGCTTTCACTGGAAGACGTAAAGAGTCAAGGCGCGATAGATGATTAGGCCCGGGGTCACTGTGCGGATGATCTTCGAGCAGACCATCAGCTGGGCTGCTTGAAGCATGCCCCTGGCTCACTTTTATGCATACCGTAGAACAGAAAGACAGGCATGTTCCGATCCTGACCACACGACGAGACTGCATTTGGATTGCAGCTTTTACCTGCAAGGAAGCAATTTTGCAGGTTAACGTGATTGCTTTGGGGGTGATCGCATAGCAATTGCAGTCAAGCTCGGCTGCCCAGTTGGCCAGCTGAGCAGGATGCTTGGCCATGCGCGACGCTGGATGACCATAGCCATCCTGGTCACCGGCCTTGCAATCGGCGCCTGCGGCGACACACTTCCTGCAGATGGTGAGTAGCAGAAATGACCACATGTGATCTTGGGGTCGTGATTTGACAGACTGTACATGAAGCGCGAGCGGCTGCATTGCAACCTGAAACCAGCCCTTCTAGTCTCAAGGTGGGACTGAGCTGTGCCTCTTCTTTTTGGACATCCTTCTGTCAGCAGCTAATCGAGCTTCTTGGCTGCATAAATACCCTTCTTAGCATTGGTGAAGCTGCTGGAGAACCGAGTCTGTTTGACCAAGCTGCAGCACTTCCTGCACCAGAGAAGAACAGCATGAACATGCTTTCCTGCCATGCCGGTATGGGAGATTTCCATGAGGGAGCTTCCCAAAGAAGCCTTGTTCAAGGAGCTGCGTACAACCATGTGGTTAAACCACATCACAGACTCCTGTATGAAGGAGCTCTTTGATTCCAGAAAGGCAAAAGCGTTTTTACTAAGCAGATTGCAGACTCTGCTCATGCCTGCAATGTTTTGTCCTAATCTGCATGGCTGTTATGCTGGTTTTTATGATGTCCCCTTCATGCTCGATAGCTGACTGCTGTAAGCATCCACCAATGCTGCTGTCTTACGCATCTCAGGGTCACAACCATCTTTATAGCCCCGCTAATGTAGCCATTTCTGGCCACAATATGCTGACTGCTGCCTGTTTTACCGCAAGTTGGAGGTCTGCATCTACATACGCATCTTCGTCAGTAGCTTCGATGTGATTTGCTAATGTGGTTCTCAAGCAGGCATCCTGGAGTCATGAAGCGATTCTGTATACAAGAGTAACAGCCATTGCAGTTTCCGTATTTCGAGGCTCTTGTCAGCTCTAGGTTTGACATCATCAGTGGCAGCTACAGTTGCCCAACCTTCCTCAATCTGGCTGAAGGTCCGAAAAAGGGTGGCCCAGGATGGAAAGGCGCAACTTGAGCTTGAAAACGATAGGCAAGGACCGTCCACATAAGCAGCAATCTGTCTGACCTTCTGTACCCCTTAGCCAAACACCAGGCTAGGTAATCCTTCAATGGCTCACAGCTCCAAGTGGTGGCTTGACAAGCAACACTGCCGGGCCTTCCTTGTGAGGAAAGCCTGGTGAATATTGAGTCTGCATCTTCCCATGCCCTGAAGTTACCACATTCGTCTTTTGCACAGTGCGTGCGCTCCAGGGCCTGCTGTCGGAGCTGGGTGCTCCGGTCACGCTGGCAGGGAGTTGGCAGGGCCAGGATCCATGTGCCACCAAGTGGCGGGGCATCGTCTGTGACATGGGCAGCCCCCAGAAGGTGGTCACCCTGTGAGTGCGGAGCTAGATGGCTATATTCAAGTTATCTCTATCCCCCACCTCTGATCTGAATGCTCACGTTGCCGTATCGCTTGGCTGCAACACTGCGCCTGCTTCTGTTCAGAAGAGTGTGGCTTGCTGGGGAACTCCAAATTGCAACCTTGAGATTTCTGTAAGTCGGGAAGCTTGAACAGCAGGTAGCTGGTGTAACTGCCAGACTGCCTATCTGCTACTTGGTCTCATCCCAGCTCTTTGTCCGTACACAGGGACCTGAGCGGCCTGCGGCTGTATGGCGCCATTCCCCCCAGCGTTGGGCTGCTGGTAAACTTGCAGAACCTGTACTTGGCACGCAATGGCTTCTCGAGGTCCATCCCGGTGGCAGTGGGCAGCCTGGGCCAGCTGCAGAGCTTCGACGTCTCCAACAACTCGCTCTCCGGGACAGTGCCCGCCATCCTCGCAGCCCTGCCCCTCACCGCACTGTGAGCGGCATCCGCGCACCTTGCCAAGGGCCGGATCTTCCCTGAATGTCGGAAAGAACCGGGTTCGTTTGGCTGCAATCAGTTCCTGCGAGCTGCTTCAATGCACCAAGTACCCGATCGACATTGCGTATAGGCGTCTTATGTACGACAACTACCCCATCTAAACGTTGGTGGCACACACTCAAAGAGTGGCCCGGAAGGGAGTCTGCAGTGACACCTACTAGCCACAGTAGTAGACTACCCTCGCGTGTCTCTGGAGCATATGAGCAGCGTTTCTGCAAACCTTTCTGCCCCGCTGACCTCACCAACCTCGTTTGTGCAGGTACCTGCAGGGCAACTCCTTTCTCCCCCCCCTCCCTGCTGAGCTGAACCGCATCCTCACCCTCAAGGTCGACCCCTATCTGCTTTCCGCTGCACCTGCCCCTGCCCCAGCAGAAGCCGAGCCTCTGTATGCTCCAAATCCAATTCCTAATTTGGGCGCTCCCAATCCCTTTCCTTTCCTGGGGAATCAGCCAAACTCACGTGACCCGGTCCTGGCAACAAACGGAAGCCAGACCGGCGGCCCTCTAGTCGGTAAGAGTCTGCTCTCGGAGTCGACTTCAGGTATCTCCCGCTCAGCTTCCAAATATCTCTTGCTCATCGATTAGTCCTGCCCTTGAGGTTTCCTGCTTCATACCCTTTGGACCACAGAAGGATATCCGGCAAAAGTCGCTTGACCATGCATTCCCTAGATCTGTCTGGCCCTCTCATCGAGAAAGGCAGAGAAGTGACGTCTCTGTCCGCCCCTGGGTCGAAACCTTCAATCTTCTCCCTTTTCCCCAGGCGTGCCCAGCACAACCCCGAATGCATCTGCCGGCGGGTGCACGGAGGGTCCCTGGACCTGCTTCTGCAATGGCGGCTTGCCCGGGCAGCAGCAATGCAATGGAACACGTGGGAGCTTCGAGCCCTGCAATTGCACGGCGACCAGTAAGAGCCGGTTACCTTCGTTGCAAGCCAGGATTGATCGGCGCTTCTTTAGTAGATTCCCAACAGATTCTGCAAAGCTGAAAGGCTGATGCTTACAAAATTGCTGTAAGACCTACCTTTCAAAATGGTCATGGGGAGCTGCGGCCGTCAGCTCACCGGTTAGAGGAGCCCCACGACTACGCACCACGTTTCTCAAGTACTGGATGTTGCCCATCGTTGTCAAAGCCCTTGAGGGGCCACTCGGCTCCACGGTCTGGGCACGCTAAACCGCATCCGGGCCCCTCCACGTTTATAGATCTCGCTTCTGCTGACTCTCTGTGTTGCGTGCAGCGTGCATGGCCTGCCCGGCCGGCACGGTGGTGCGGCCCACCCAGGGTCCTGCGTGCGACTGCGTGGCGGCCCTGCTGCTCCAGCTCAAGCTGCACAACGCCACGCTGAGCGCATTCACAACCGCCGACGAGAGTGCCTTTCTCACAAACCTGGCAGCCACGCTGGGGGTCCAGCCGCAGCAGGTAATACTGCTCGCACTCTGGAAACGCTGGACAACTGCGAAACTACGATTGGATGCCTCACGGTATAACCCAGTGCCCTAACGGACGCATAGACTAACCAATGGAGCAACACCTTGCACTGGTCTTGGCGGGAAAGCCGGGGTCTGTTGCCGTCCTCATGGCGGTACTTGCCAGACTCTGGGAGACATTCTGCAACGTTCTCAACCGTCAAAAGTCACCTTTCTCTTTCACACTTCCACATTTGCACCGCTCTCACAGGGCCCTGGCTTTTCCTGCCACGTCAAACCCCTGCCGCTGACGTCACAGTTCGCAATGTCGTCTACAGTTGACGGTGTCGTTGCGCGAGGCCGGCAGCGTGATCCTCACGGTGCTACTGACTCCCCTCACCGGGCTCGCTCTGCCGACCAGTGCCGCCGCGACCGTCCGCACCACACTAGGAGCAGTGGGAAGCGACCCTGTGTACGGCCCCTATGACGTCATGCTGGTGCAAGATCAAGGCTCGTCAGGTGGGACCATTTTCCCACGTAGGGTATCCTTGCCCAAACTCGAGGCGTGTGCCACGTACACCCGCTGTAATCCTTCTAAGGTGTGCCATACGAGGCCTTGAGAAGCGTTTATCGCTCTTCATTGGATTACATTCCTCTCCCCACTAGATTTCTGTGGACGCCGCGATTCACGGGCATTAAAATCACTCGAATGGCGCACCCCTACCTCGATGGCGAAGAGGGCCAACTTAACTTTCCGGGCGTCCTCTTTCTCTGGTGCAGCGCGCGCGGTGTCGCCCTCCGCTGCTCTTGTTGCGGGCGGCCACTCGTTCGCCAAGACGACCCCCTTTTGGATCGGCATGCTGGTGCTCAACGCGGCGGCCATCGCTAGTGTGGTAGGGGCCCTGCTGTACTGCCGCCACCGAAGGGGCAAGAAGGGCAAGCAGCTGACGTCATTCCGCCACTTCGTGCATCACCAGCATTCCGTCAGCGCAGAGAAGCCGACCCACTCCGTCAGCCCAGCTGAGTCGGCAGGTAAGAAAGTGCTCCATTTGGCTGAGCGAATTTGAGAACCGTCTCTCGCCTCTTCTTCCTAGTCGGCGGCCAGGCTGCATCGTTGAGAACCAGTGCATCGTACCGAAACTCTCAGAATCCAGGGACGGAAGGTCAGCAATTTTTTACCACGACATGGGTTTCAAAACCCCTTTTCAGAAAGTTCTCATGGCGCTACTCTCCATCATTCCTGGAATCGCTCCCCAAGGACCACATCCAGATAAATCCACATCACTGTTCTCTCCATGTTTGAAAAGACGCAAGATTCACCTTTTTGACCCGCTTCGGTTCACCTTGCAGTAGATCCAAGTCTGAACTTCAGCTTTGGCCTACGGCGCGGCTTGAGCGGCGTCCCGCACGACGAGGGCGGCCCTGACATTGTCGCCCGCTACTTCAGCTTCGACGAGCTGCACCAGGCAACCGGCGGGTTCGACGCCTTGCACAGGATCGGCCACGGTGGCAGTTCTATAGTGTACCGGGGCAAGCTCAAGGACGGTGAGCGCACGTGGCCGCACGTAGTGCAGCTTGCGAGGCTGAAGTGGAGAACAGTCTCAATTGCTTTGTCTTCCCGAGTGGCATCTTGTGGCATGTCGTTTTTGCGCCGGCACGACGTCATGCAAGATCTTTATCGCTCTCGCGAGCACGTGCAAGCATTTGGTGTGGCTGCGCTCTTCGCAGAGGCATCCCGCATGCGAGGCCCGGGCTTTCCACAGCGCGCGTCAGAGTCTCGACTCCGGGGTCATGAGAAGATGGGTTACAAAGCTACCGCTTTCAAATCGAGGGATGGTAGACTTGCGAGGCAGGATTCTTTCTAGTTCTATAACCTGCCCCGTCCTGCTCTTATAGAAGCCAGATCTCTGAGCTGCGCTGCTGCCCCCCTGCGTGCGCAGGCCGCACGGTGGCGGTGAAGCAGCTGAGCGTGTCGAGTTTGGCGGGCGTGGGCGACCGCGAGTTCTTGCTGGAGGTGGCGCTGCTGTCGCGGCTGCACCACTGCCACCTGGTGCAGCTCGTCGGCTACTGTGGCGATGCGCACGAGCGACTCCTCGTCTACGAGTACATGCCCGCTGGCACACTGCGCGAACACCTCAACGGTTAGCGCCGCGCCGGTCTGCTGTGCACGGCCTCAGAATCGGCTCATACATTGGCCATTGATACTTTTCTTGAAGCTACGTTGCCTTGACATGAGAACGACCTCCTAAGCTGATTCAAAGTGGTGCAAGGACTGCTCGCCTTTCTGAGGAAAACTTGGAACTTGGCAAAAACGTTCATGTCGAAAGCTTTCATGGGGATTGGATTTCTCCCGTCTGGCTATTCGTCAGACGCCTGTCGAATTCAACGTAGGCCATCCTTGGAACGGAAACGTCCTGTTGCTGTCCTCTTGCGTGTCTTCTACTTTCTTCTGAGGCAATACCCAATCTTTCCCCTCTCAGCCAGGGCCGTCTTTCCTCCTATCAGTCTGCAAATTTCCCGCTCACGGCGTAGCTGACGTTTCATGTGTGCAGCCCCAAATGGGCGGGTGCTGGACTGGCCGACGCGGCTGCAGATCGCGCTGGGCGCGGCGCGGGGCCTGGAGTACCTGCACGAGGCCGCCAACCCGCGGGTCATCCACAGGTGCGCCCATCCGCGCGCGTGCGTCTCATGTAATTGCCGGCGTTTGGCTAGGCGGACGGTGCTAGCACTACCTTTGACAACAGGCGTAAGAAGCCGATAAGGCAACGGTAGCCGCGGATGCTTTCGACCATCCTGAAGCATAGAAAAAGGACCCTGTTACGCTTTGCATTGCGACTTGGGTCCTAAAAACGAGGTGGAAAGATTGCCGTGGACGACCTCTGTGCAAGGTCCTTCTGAAAGAAAGGCTGATGGATCGTCTTCGCCTTGTACAGGGACTTCAAGAGCTCGAACATCCTTCTAGATAAGAAGCTGCGGGCCAAGGTGCGTGTCAATTGTTCCGCCTCTGCTCGTATAATGAATAGTCACATCAGGTCAGCTGGTTGCACGGCCCCAATTTAGGAAAGGAAAACGAAGTTGCAAGCCCTATGAGTTTTAGCGACAAAAATAACAAAAGTGAATAAAATAATGTTTTGGCAACTTAATCGACAGCCAAAGTGCAGAAACATGCGCATGTCTCCCCCCCTTTCTCGCGCCTTCTCAGTTTGCGCCGTGCTGACCGGTGCGCTCGCGCGCTGCTGGCCGCAGGTGTCCGACTTCGGCATGGCCAAGCAGATGGCGGAGGGCAGCCCGCTCGCGTCGCCGCACCTGACGCAGGTGCTCGGCACCTTCGGCTACTTCGCGCCAGAGTACGCCATGATGGGGCGGGCCACCACCAAGGTGCGCACAGTTGCTAGGCGACGCCATCCCCATTTTATGCGAACTTCGTCTCGAACGCTACGCTTTACTTCTAATGTGGCCTGACATTTTGGAAGCATATGGTCGTCTGAAGCGAAAGCTACGTGTGCGCACGAAGATTGTGGACCCGTACTAAGGTGCTGACGCATACTCTCGCTGACGGGTCACGGGAGTCCCGTTCGTGGTGCAGAGCGACATCTTCAGCTTTGGCGTTGTTCTCCTGGAGCTCATCAGCGGGCGGGCCCCGGTGGACATGTCCCGGCCGAGGGGCCAGGAGAGCCTCGTGTTGTGGGTGAGTGTACCGGTCAAACTTTTCTGGTGGGCTTGCGGAAACGGATCACAAGGAAATCAGCGGTCGCATGTAATTCTCGCACAAGCGGACATCAGGCCAGGCCGCAGTTGGGGGAGGTAGCATATTGATTCTGCTTCCGGGATCTATACGGAAGCCTCCTTGTCCGCTAAAGCGGCCTGCGTTCCGTGTAGCCCGCATCCTCTCAGTCGCCTGCGTTTTTCTTCTCGACATCCTCCGCTTCTCATTGAGATTCAAGTGCGAGCTTAGAGCGGTCAATCAACACAGGATGTCAAGAGATTGTATCCGGTCTCCGTGTCCACGTAAAGTCCTCTTGCACGACGGAGACCGCTCGCGCCTCCACGTTGCTTTCCCGGCTTCCTCCGGCATCAGTCTCTCAAACTCTCTCTCTAAGTCCCCCTTCGCCCCCTTCGTGTGCCCCGCCAGGCGTCCCCCCTGCTGCACGACGAGCAGCGCGTGCTGGCGGAGGTGGCGGACCCGGGCCTGGCGGGCCGCTTCTCCCCGCAGGACCTGCAGCGCCTCGCGCTCCTCGCGCTCGCCTGCCTGCAGCCCGACCCCGAGCAGCGGCCACGCATGCCCGCCGTCGTGCAGGTCAGCCACGCCCGGCTGCCGCGGAGAGCAGGCTGGATGCACTCCTGCCTGCGCAACCGCTGTTGCTAAAGAGAGTCCTTCCATGTCATAAAGCTTACCGGGATTGCATGGAATTGCGCTCGCTATTGAATCGTAAGCGTCCGAGGCACGCGTCTGATCGTTTGTCCCGGGCAAGCCGAAAGCGGTCAGTGGCAGTGAGTCTACCGAAGGTGCATTCAGATGAGCCGAACTTCGCGTCTGTTGTTTGTACTGCTGCGCTGAGAATTTGACTCAAGTTGAAAACACGCCAAACAACAGTCCTTGAGCCCTGAACCGCCTCAAATGGCAGCCGCTCGGCATCGCGCCGGCTCTAGTCTTCGTGGCACGTTCTCACACATTGATTTGGGCTGTGCAGTCCATCCAGACGCTGCTCCCTGAGAACCAGCCCGCCCGGAGCGGGCCCTCCAGCTGGGCCAGGGAGGTCAGCGACAGGGTGAGCCGAACGCACCGACGTCGCGTCGCCTGACATGTCCGCGAACAGCATCTGGAGCCTTTTAAAGAAGCCGCCCCAAATGTCTCTTTCTGCCGCCTCGCTACGTTCGTGACTCGCTGTCATTGAGTTTTTTCAATTGCGCCCCGCGTTTTAAAAGGGGGCCCAGTATCACATCTGTTTCCGCGCCTCCTGTGCTGCTGCATTTCGGGTGCTTCAGACTTAACGGGCCGCGTATGTGTTGCCGCGCGCAGCTGACCCAGAGCTTCGACCCGCCCGCCTCGCGGCGCAGCAGCTGGGGCAAGCGCGGCATGGCGCGGCCGCTCGTGTCGGGCGCCAGCGCGTCCACCTCGTCGCATAGCTCAGCATCCCCCTCCCAGGTTAGCGGGAAACACGCACTCGGGCAGCGACGAGCGTGGCGCTTGCTCCGAATTAGCGGGTATCTGTGTTGAGCTGCTCTCTGAGCGCCACCTTTTCAGAGTAATGTCCACAACCCCGTTTGGCACGGGCACTTATTCACCAATCCAGAACGTGTACCTCTCAGCGGCCCCACTTGAAAGAGAGGTTGAAGCAGAGTCCGGCCCACTCAGGTTACTGACATGGAGATACCACTCTTGCGTCTTTTTCTGGGGACTGGGCTCGTTGATTGCTGTGCACCGATGCCTTCGAAGTCCTGGTTTTTAAAGTACTCATTCTTGCTGCGTTTGTTGGAAGGTGAAGACTTGAGGCTTGTGCCTTCAGAGGCACACAGAACCGTTCAATGATGCGTGAAATAGTTTAAGTCGCTGACTCAGGGAAGAGTTAAGCTTCAAGAGACCAGCTGCCTGTAAATCGTGGTCCGTTGCTTCTTGCAGACGTCCGACCAGAAGTCGACGAGCAGTATTGGAGAAGCGATACGAAAGACCTGGGTGGAGGTTACAAGCAAGCTGAAACCAGAGGACGGCTCACAGGCTTAGGTGAAACGATCGTTACCGTACACTTTTCTAACCATGGCTACTGCAGAAGGCTGCCATTGGGCCCGAGTCCTAGAACATAAGGTCAACGTTTCCAATGTAACGGTCCAACAAAATTCGGTCTAACCGTCACACGGTAGAAAGGCGAATCGATCACGTCGTCGACAATTTCGGCCTCTTTGATACATTGTCTGGCTACACAAGAGCTAATCAATCTAACGTAGTGTCTTCCAGGTGCTTACAGTAAAAGAAGCGTACGGAGGGGTGGACCAAGCAAGCAAATCCATCATGTGCATACCGTACATTCTTCTTGACTTAGCTAAGTACAGCAGAACAAACCCTGAAAGTGTTACCTTGAAGGTTGCATTGCGACGTCATCCATGAAGCATTTTAGACGTCCGCCTTAAACCACAGCCGCACATCCGTTGCTCGGGCAACATCGTACTCATATTTTCTCAGTGGCGAAGTGGACAGAGTTCGGCCGTGTATGTGGTCGCCGCCCGTACGTTCAACACCTACCTGTACGCTTATGGAAGCAGGAGGGGTCCCGGGGCGCCTCGCCTAGCGGCCGCCGCCCCTGCTGGCCCGTGGCACACCGGGTTGGCCTGGGCGGCGGCAGTGACAATTGCCAATCAAGTGCACACTACTTATGCCGATCTGCATGAAGACACATGCATATATTCGTTAAAGGGATGCGCAATCGAATGAGTATATGGCCGGAACGAGCGGGCGGCCAACCGTTCCGAGTTCGTCCATTCAAGCACGTTTGGCAATGTATACTATTACGGTCCGTCTAATGAGTCCACGTATATAATTAGACGGCATGGGCGGCCGCCGCCACCATGCAAGATTATACGCTTCAAAATTGCCCTAGGTTTAGCCCGCCGCGCGGGCTTAACTTGATCATGTGTAAGGGCGAGACTCGTGCACAGCGCGCAATCGTACTAGGAGTTGCATGGATATGGCTGGCAGCTTAGTAGCCCAAATTCTGCTATAGCTGATCGAATTTCCAACTCGCCAACTTTGAGGAGTTAAAAACTCATGGCATGTTGGCAAAACGAGCGTAGGAGCATCAGCGCCCGGGCCGTCAGCGAGTTTGCCTCCTTCGACTCGCGACACAATCGCTGTTGCCCCGTTGTCCCCACTGAGTAAGCGATGCACTCGCGTATCATTACTGGATAACGCCCGGATGTGGGGTCAGATCAGAGATCGCGGGCCATCCCCGCTAGGCCGCTGGTACTGGCCCGCGCGGCACGCCATGACGAGCTGCGCGGCGCCAGCGCGACCACTCAGAGTCAACGAGCGCACGCGCTCCGACGGGTTTAGACGGTCACGTCCAGCGCGGCCGCGCGGCCGTGCATCTTTCAGTGTGCGCGGCCCCGGCCGTCCCTTGTAAATGCGCAAGCGGCCGCGCGGCTGCATGATCGAGTTTTGAGGCCCGGGTGAAGCCTGTTGTGGCTGATACCTTCAGGCAATTTCTGACCGGAGCGGCAAGCCTGAAAGCCATCATGGATGAGCCGGCTGCAAGTGGACCTTGCGACTCGCTACCAGACGAAGTCCTGCTTCTCATTCTCTGTAGGCTCGCTGTGCAGGACCCTCCTTCCCTGCTTGCGGCGACCGTTGCGTCAAGGACCTTTGACAGGCTGGCGCCGCCTCAGTCCGCGCTCTGGAAACACGTCTTCTACAAGGAGGTGCAGGCGTCGCCTCCGTATGACTCCTTCGAAGCACGCGCGCTTGAGAAAGAGATCGAGGATTTCGGTGGATACAAGAGTCTCTTTGTAGCTCATGTGAAGGTGGACTCACATTCGTCCTCTTCCAGGAGCCGCAATCTGAACAAACACAGTGAAAGTCCTGATGTGGAGATTTCCACATTCTTGTATCTGATGCGGACACGGGATGGCCGTCTCTTTTTCTGGGGAGGGGGGACGGAAGGAGAGAGTAGCAAGCGGGGCACGCTGCTGACCACCGGAGAAAAACGCTTCCCCTTTAGCGCCCAACTGCATCCTCTCGTTCGAAATGCAGAAATACGAGAGCTGACGCACGGTAGGCGTTGGGAGCCATCTCTCACTCTGGTTTATTAGAAGTCGACTGTCAAGGCTGCGTCCGGGCAAGAAGGTGCCCGGGTAAGGGTCTGGACCATGACCCTGTCCCTTAATCTCTACCTCCAAGCTACGTTAGACTGGAAACCCCTTCCGAGGCGTGACCCAACCGTCAAGACACACCCCACGTGTCTGAATTACCCAGGGCATCACCGCACCAAGCTCTGCTTGTGCAACAAGATGGACTACGGAGTCAGCTTGGGGAGCAAGCACGAGAACGTGAGCTACTGCACGCTCGGCGGCGAAATTGACCTCGGAGGGACGGCCCATGCAGAAACCTTTCCCGTCATGGATCTGCGCGATTGGTACTTTTGGAAGGAAGCTTCTGAAAGGAGAGCGGAGAAACTTGTAAGATTGCACAAGTAGCAGATCCCGGCCCTTTGTAGTATTTTGCAAGAAAGACATGTATTCTGCAAGTCGATCGAACATTTAGATCCATTCAGACCTCTTTCCGGTTCTCACGTTGGTGAAGGCATCTTTTTCTCGACTAGGTCCTTGTTCCTATGCACTGCACATAAGCTGTTTGAGGACTCAAAGCGGCATCTATGAGCAAAGTGAGCGGATTGTGGAGTCCACGGATTCGTCTCAGTGTTCCGATCCTTTCTGGAAGCCCGACTTTTGTGGCATCATCTCTGCGCCCCGCAAGCTTGCTCTGTGTCATACATAAGCTCTGCAGTACACCAGCTAGCTATTGGAGAAGGCATATATTTCCTTGCGACTGGCAGCGTTTTTTCGATAAGCAATCTCCCCATCTAGAGGCCAATCATGTGATGTGATTAAGGCACGATTGAACTTTATCCGGAAGGCTATACATACCGGAAGACACATGGGAATATAAGGTTGATTTGCCAATCCATCTTCGCCTGCTTACGATATATCAGCTATACATGGAGGCAAACCGTATAAGGTAACCGTATAGGACCCGGGTTTCAGTTCGGGCGATATGCCTCATATCTTTCGGGTTGATTGCACGCATGTTCCACGTATCAACTGCCGCCTACACGTGGGTCCAATCATATAGCCACTGAGAATTTTTTTAGTGCTCAACGTACTCAATTTTGCTTGCCGCGTGATCCGCTGCATGAGTGTGCTGATCGCGGGCTACTAGCACGGTCGACTGTGTCAATAAGCCTGTTAGACGAGAAAGCTTAGAAAGCATCCTAATTCGCCTGAACATACAACCTGTTTTTATCTAGCAATGTGCTGCCATAATTCTACGACGATATTAAGTTTGACGTGAGCCGCCGACCTGGTTAGATTGCTGAATGTGCGCTACGTCTCCTTCTTGAAATTGAAATCATGGACGATTGCGCGGTCAGTATTTAAAAGAATTTGTCTGTTTTGAGTATGACAACAGCCCTCTGAATCTTTCCAGCTCGGCCATGCTTTTTGGGCCATAGGCTGGCTGCTTCGCCATCAAATGCTTGGAACAAGTCTGGATCGCTTGCTCCATCTTCAATCACCTGTTCATCTACGATAGTTGACGTGATCCGCTGAAAGCTCTTCCTTTCTTCGCCGAGATTTTCCTGCTTGTTGAACCCCTATAATGGCTTCCAGGTGTCCTGCTTCGCATGCCGTTTTGTCGTTCTGGCCGCTCTTTTCATTGGCATCCTCACCCATCGGTCTGCTTTCACCTCCATTCCTCTCCGCATCTCTCTTGAGGAGCCTCTCAAAACGTTCGCTCCACGAAAATGAACCCCTGAGGCAGTTGCGCTGATGTCTGTCCCGCCCTTTTCTTCCTGATGAGCTCTATCAACAGCTATCTAAAAGTCACGCGTCTCTGGGTCTGCTCCGTTCCCCGCGCTCGGTGCTCGACTCGACGTTCGCTCGCTCGCCCATCATCTGAATCTGCCGGCAAAGAAGAGCGTCTTTCCTCCCCATATATCACTTAGAATTTGCTCTTTTCCGGTAAACTACTGAAGAGCTACCTCTAGTCGCTAATCCTGAAGCCGTGTCCCTAAGAATCTCGGTGTTCCGCTTCGACTTTCTTTTTTTGCGTCCCACCCTTCTCGTTCCCCGCATAGATGCCGTCCTCTTCGAAGCTGATGCTTCCTGGCGCCCCTCGTCAACCTCAGACACGATGATCGCCTGACAGCTTCCAACACCAGCCTTTCAATGAGAAGAAGAAGCAAGCAGAGCCTCGCAGCGGGCACGCGCGGCTTTCCGCCGGCGCCAGACCGGCGGGGGCCCGGAAAATGGTAAAGCGCGGCCGCCGCGCGTGCTTTTACAGTGAGTCTACCGCGCGAGCCGCCGGGCGGCACGCTTCTGGACAGTGCGCAACCGGCCGCCCCGCTGCGGTCGTATTGGCCCGTCGTCTCTGACTTGAACAAAAAGAGATGTCTACTCAATCAGCCGTTTGGACGTTGTGAAGTCATAGGCAGTTCGTGAATGGTGCACCGGAAAAGCTTTGAAGGCATGGGTGAGCTGGTTGCAGCGAGTGGACCTTGCGACTCGTTGCCAGACGAAGTCCTGCTCCTCATTCTCCGCAAGCTCGCTGAGCAGGACCCCCCTTCCCTGGTTGCGGCGACCCTCGCATCAAGGGCCTTTGACAACTTGGCACCACCTCAGTCTCCGCTCTGGAAAGACGCGTTCTGCAAGCAGCTCCAAACATCGCCGCCCTGTGACTCACCAGAAGCACGGGCGCTTGAGAGAGAGATAGAGTGTTTTGGTGGGTACAAGGGGCTCGTTGCAGCGGTGAATGCGGGCTCAGAGAATCTGAACAAAGTCAGCGGGAGTCCTGCGAAGTCCACTTTCTTGTATCTGATGCGGAAGTTGAATAGCGGCCGTCTCGTTTGCTGGGGAGGAGGAACCGAGGGTGAGACTAGCAAGCGGGGAAATCTCATGCAAGCCAGCAAAGATACAAGCTTCATGTTCAGGGCACAAGTTCATCCTCTCCTTCGAGCCGCGGAAATGCGGGAGCTGATGAAAGATGAAAGTTGGGAGCCATATCTCGGCTACATCTTCCAAAGATCAACGGTTGAGTCAGATTTTGAGAGGTCGAGAGGAGTCCTGGTGAGGGTCTGGACCGTGCCTGTGTCCGTGGTTACCTTCTTCCAAGCTACCTTGCACTGGCAGCCCCTGCCGGAGCGCGATCCCAACTTTAAGTCACACCACATGTGTCTGATCTACCCCGAGCGTCACAAAGCCGAGCTCTGCTTGTGCAAAAAGATGGACTACGGAGTCAGCTTGGGGAGCAAACAAGAGAACGTGAGCTACTGCACAATCATTGGCGAGATTGAACTCAAAGACGTGGCCAGTGCTCAGAACTTTCCCGTGATGGATCTACGCGACTGGTACTTTGGAAGGAGGTTGGGGGATGGAGATTGGTCGGACTTGTAGCGCCACACATACACCGAGTTCTTCAGGGCAGTTGTTGCAAGCTAAACAAGATCCATGCCGACAGCCAGATCCATCCATCCAATCAGTTGTCAAATTAGAACGAGACACACATGATTGCAAACAACTGACCAGAAGGAGCCAAGGGTGACGGCCCCTTTGATGCCCGTTGAGATATGAACGGCACGTTTGGACTTAGGTCCCTTTTCCCATGCAGTGGATTTCCGGGCAGTCCTCTAATCAGATCGCCGTACATCAGCAAAGTATGGGTTCACACGTCAAACCGCTATTAGGGGGCCGCACCGACCTCCTAAAAATCATGTTTACGTCCATCACCCACAGATTTTACGTCCATCACCCACAGATTTTATGTTACATCAACTGCATCTTTGTACACCAGCAAGCTAGTACATAGCATGATTATTGCCCTGCGATTAGCAGCGGTACCCTAATTTGAAGCAATCCACCTAATATAGCCGATGATGTTGATTCAGATAAAGAAACGTTTCAACTAGGTATTCGTCGATCATTCTTCTATCGAGGATAATGCATATACCGTCCATTTGACTTTACAGTACCTCGCCTGCTTCCGATGTCAGCTTCAAGGAGAATTGATTGTAGTGCCGGGTCCATTACTCGGTGTTGTGCTTGATTTCTTCAATGATCAAAGCATGATCGAATCTGTAATCCTGCTCGGTGCATGACCTCTTGCCAACAGGTGGGCAGAATCATATGGGCTGCACTGAAACTTTGCTCAGCACGATCAGCTCATGTATACAGCTTGCTTCGCAGCATTGGTTGGGCCGATCTGGGCTCCTAGCGGGTCCACTCTGCCGTGCTTGAGCTGCTACCAAGATATCAAGAAGCGGTCGACAACCTTGCACTGATTTGCCTGGAGACAAACGAAGCGCTTCTTTGATCTTAACAATTTGATGCTTTTATGGACTATATAAAGTTTGGCCTGGTCCACCCGATCTTATTACCGCACGCGGCGGGCTACCTCTAGCTTAGAAAAGTCTTTGCATGGAGATTGCTCAGTCATATTCTACCTCTCATAATCTCTGTCTACAGTACGACTCCACTACTCTAGAAGTTGTCCAGCTCACTTGTGCTCTGGGTCAAAGGCTCGCTTCCAAACCCGACGAAAGTCTGGGTAGGCAGATCCAGCGCAGTCGCTTGAACTCCTACCACCTGATCAGCAAGAATAGATGACGTCTTCCGGTGAAAGCTGTTTCTTTGACTACCAAGCAACTTACTCCTCCGTGAATCTTCTACAAGACTCGCTCCCGAGTCTCCAGCTTGGAACGGCCGTCCGTCGTTTTGGCCGTTCGTGTCCCCCACATCCTCCTCCACAGGCTTGCTTTCACCTCCATTCCTCTCATCATCTCCCTGGAGCAGCCTCTCAAACCGTTCGCTCCACGACAAACGGCCCCCTGCGGAAGTTGCGCTGATGTCTGTCTCGCCCTTTTCTTCCTGATGGGCTCTACCAACACTTGTAGAAAATTCACGCGTCACTGGGTCTGTTCCATCCCCCTCGCTTCCGTTGCTCGACCTCGGACGTTCCGGTCGCCCATCATCTGAATATTCCGTCAGACAAGGGCGTCTTTCCTCTCTCGTCAAGCCGACTAGATAGGGTTCGCTCCTTCCCGTTAGACCTGTAGAAAACCTCCCCCTATTTGCTAACCCCGAAGCAATTAGCCTCTCGTCTTCCTGAGACTCTCGATGTTCAGGCTCCGCTTCTTCTTCTGCATCCCACCCTTCCTCGTTCTCCGCATAAATACCGTCGTCTTCACCTTCTGAAGATTCGTGGCTGGTTATTAGCCCCTCGTCAATTTCGGACACGATGGTCGCTCGGTATGAGTCCATTACCAGCTTCAGATACTGCAGAAACAAAAGAGGCAGTGACTTGCCAAGTGACCTGTGCGTAGGAGTGCTTTCAAATGGGCAAGTCGCCAAGCATTGCATAGAAATGCACGCAGCAACAAGAAGGCAATGAGGAGCTAGCTCTGCTTAAGACCCAACCAAAGCCTAGTGCAATCGAAAGGCGGTCTAGTGGTCTTGCTTTGAAGTACCTGCTCAGGAGGCCCTCGTTGAAAATGGTTGACAGCACTTTGAAGTGGAGTCTCAAACGAAAGTCAGGACGCACCGACTCCCCAAACGAAGCGCATACCTGATAGGCTGATATCGTGCCTCGTCCACGTTCGCCCCGCGACATTTTCCGACTGTGGGTTGACTCTAGTTGGCCCTCAAAGAACTGCTCAATAGCATGGCACAGCTCTGCATAAAGGCGGGACGTTTGAGAAGACGAACTCATCTTCTATGAAAGCTACGTGCTTTCAAATGTACCTCTCCATGCAAGCGGTCTGGAAACGAAATCTTTGGAGCGGGTCAGATCATCTTCTGACTTACAAATTGCAACCAATGACGATGTAGCTCTGCGGCAGAGGTTGTAAAACGTGAATCCTTCTTTTTTACCAGCGAAAGTACCGCTGAGCTTTCTCTTTCCATGCGGAATCCGACCGAACCCGGAAACGCTCCAAGCAGCTTTTCCCTATGGTCTGAAGCCTCTCCTTCCAGAGGTCAGTAGTGGCCGCCAGACGATCGCGAATGCTTTACCTGCCAGCAGCGGCCCTCCGGCGACCTTCCCCAGCACTGCTCGCGTCATGCTGACGGTCTGCTCTTTGCGCAACGTAGCGGTGGCAAGCCCGGCGTCCGTGTTCCGGCGAACGTGGGACGGATTCCGCTGCAGCTCGGCGGACACCTTCTGGCGGCAGTACAAAAAGAACTCTAGATCGTCCTGCAATGGCGCGCACTGCGGTCTATCAGAGTTTACGTCAGAGCGGGGCCCTGGGATTGCAATTACAGCGGAACGATAGCAAGAACAACATGATGGGTGTTGCCTGGAAGCAGATAAACGCACGTGAATCGTCATGCCAGTGGTGAATAGATTGAGGTCTTCGATCCTTTATTGACTCCGCTCATGGGTCAAGGTGGGGATCAAAGGCGCAACAGATCATTAGTTCATCGAAGAGTTCGGAAAATTAGTCAACATGAGACAGAGTTCCCTTTTGCAAGTCACTTGCAATCCATGAACCTCCCTCTGCTTCGTTCCGAACAGGTACGATAACTTTGTGGCTTCGGAGTGAGGGTCTGCTTGCCCTCACATTCGAGTACTGCCCTGCCAGGAACCCCGCAAGACTTGCAATGGCTGGGTGAAGATCCTGCTGCTCGCCCCTGGCCACGTTACAAAGGAGCTCCCACACTGCGCCCTCAGCCTGCAAGATGCACAGCTTTTTGTAGGCAGACAGGATGAATTATGCAGGCAGATTCAAGTGTACCAGATGCAGGCAGCAAGGTCTGTTGGCACTACTAAGCACTGCCGGGATGAACGCATCGCTCAGTAATGTTCTTATTGTTCTGCTCACAGCATTCTCGGTCCAAAAGGTTGTCAAGAAGCCTCGGCTTAGCGTCACTGAAAAATGTCCACAACATGAGTCAGGTCGGAGAGTGGTCAAAAGGTCAAAGTCTTATTCGAAATTTTCATTGAGCGGTGCAGTCCTCACCAGTTGGCGGAGTCCGTACTTCTTGCGGTATGTCTGGAGCAGAAACACTGCGAACGAAGCGTTTCCTTCCAGTACATCAGAGCCTGAAGTGCTGGGGGCATCTTCTGCGGAGTGGTCCGAGCCCTGGCTGTCGTGGCTCCGCCTTCGGCTCTGAGTGTAAGCGTCGACTGCGGCTTTCTGCTCTGAGATCTCGAGGGCGTACCGCTTGTCAAAGAGCTCGTCAATGGCCTGCAGAACTGGGACGGTCTCAGGACGAGTGGTGGCAAGGGCTTGACAAGGTAGCAACAAAATAGCAGGCCGGAAGCAGGAAGCTGAGCACATGTTCAACGCAGTAATTGGAGTGGTGCAGCTATGCCAGACAAAGCTTTTGAACCGTTTGGAACAGGCATACTTTGAGCAGAACCCTTCAGAGTGATGCTTTATTGGTTGCCATATCAGGCAAGCCAGGTGCTCAGATGTGCTCGGGGCATCTCAAGGGATTCCACTGCTTCAAGCTCAGCTATGAAACACCAATTCAGAGCAGCCAACACAAAGTTTTCCGCTTCTTGAAGTGGTTGTAGTAAAGCCCTGAAGTGGTAAAGCTTCTGCATCCTAGAGACCCTAGTGACTTGATTTGTTCTGCATTCCAAGAATTTGCAACGTACCGCTATCCTGGGGACTTACTTTGAGGATCCAGTTCAGTGGTCGCTGTTTGACGGGGCCCCTTGGCGGCGTCAGCGCTGCCGCCACCTCCTCAAAGCGCTCCGCAGTTTCCACCACAAATGGCAACGCAAAGTCCTCTGCTCTTAGCTCCCTAGCCTCGGCATTGGACCAGCGTGTCATCACTTTACTGCCCACTTTTGTGAGTGACGCACTCTGCCCCCACAGCTTCTCGAGGTGCTGCCTAGCTTTGTGGCCCCTAATCGACCCTTCCAAGCCACTGGCAAAGTGCAGCTCTTCTGGCATCACGTCCGAGTACTTGCGACCTGAACTGGAGGCCAGATTAGCTGCAGAGTGCGGATCCTCTTGGAAGTCTCTCACCTCGTGAAAGACTTGCTCAGAGTCTTGCATTAAGCCTTCTCTTTCATTCGACCAGCTCACTCTCCGTTCTGGTGTGGTTTCAAGGTCAGGCGACATCTCCATCTGCAGCACGGCTGTGTATCCTCCCTGGTCATCCTTGGAGTACTTTGCCCCAGAGGAGAGCAGCAGCTCCATAACCAGCTGCCGCCGCTCGGGACTGAGAGAAGACAAGACGAGCTCGCGGCGCTCGGGCTCGTGTGGCACCGCCATGCTTCCGCAAGCCTGAGGCCAAATTGAAAGGAAAAGGCCCTTTTGTCAGCTATCGATGGCGGATGCCACTACCTATTTGCAAGCATCATGCGCAACCCCCGCGAAAAGGTGGAACGTCCCTTCAAGTCACAGAGGCTGCATCATGCATGTTTCGTATACCCAGAGAAGCCTGAACAGAAACTCAATTGGATGTGGGCCCAGGGCCCCAGGTAGCTACAGCCTACAAGGTCAATCGAATGCACTGGTGCAGAGAGTCACACGACTTCTGGATCTGCTGCTGCTGCTGGACTCGTGTACCGTATGTACCGTTGCAAGCGTCCTGTTCAGATTTGATTGCGGGAACACAGGATTTGAAACTCGGTTGCCCGAATCAAAACCTTGACCTTGTACAATCTGCGCGCGCGGTGAATGCAAGCAATTCTGCACCATGGGATGGAAGTGACTCCACCGTCGATATAGCGGCTGGGGTTTGCGCGCGGCCGCGGCCGCGTCGCGGGCCGGCGCTTATAGTAGCCTTCAAATAAGCATATGGCGCATATGCCACCGCAATAGTTGGTATGCTAAGTTGGCAACTGCAGTTTAAATGTGCACATGCGCCCGGCGGACCCGCGGTGTACGTACAACAGTTATTATTCAACACATCTGCATCTCTTGCCATAGTAGTGTGAATAAAGAATGCGCGCTTGACATGGTGGGCGCCGCCGGGCCCCAGCTGGTCACCCGGCAGATCATGTACTAACGCGACACAAGTTAATCACCATGGATATACGCGCGCGCAATAGATACTACTGTAAAATGGGCTCCCGAATTTCAGCTCAGTAGCTGCTCGAGTCCACAATCTACACAGGCGTGCTCATGGTTTGATAGCAATCAATACATGACAATCTTGGCATTGTCGTGGTTTACAAACCGAGCTTCTGATTGAGTCTACCTTTGACTCCAATCGGAGGTAGATGAAAATGTGAATTGCGTGACTTCGCTCATGATTACATGGATGCCTCCAGACTCTCGACTGTGTTGAGCCGCGTCAAGATCATCGTACTGATCATGCGATATCAACAGAAGACGTTAGCTTGGATGGCGGACCCTTTGAGCCGTCACATAAATAAGTTAGTAGCTGTCAAGTATCACAGTTGGCATCTTGTCAAGCTGCCTCTCCCCCTTCAAGATTCTGCTTTTTCTACCGGTATGCAGCTTCCAAAATCTTAAGGTTCGGCCGGCCGCCAGCCTCATTCGGGAAGATGTAGTCGTAGTACTCCTCCATGCCCTGCGGCGTATTATCCGCCTCCAGATTCGGCCGTTTCCGCTTCACCTTCTTAGGCATTTTCGCCTCTACCTCCTGCGCCTTTTCAGCGTCCGGGCCGCTACCTTGCTCAAAGTCCCTCCAGGCTTCCAGCAACAACACTCTTTCTTCCTTGAGATCCGGAGACGCGGCCTTGAGTGACTCGTGGGCGCGCTCGTAAACGGCGCGCGTGCGTGCGTCCCTTTCTCGTTGTTGGTCTTCTAGTAGACCATTGTCCGGATCCCGTTCTTGCTCCGCGGCCTCGATCTCTTCCTCGAGGGCAACGCTGCTCTCGAATTGGGCGTAGCTCATCCACACCTGCCGGGCAAGGGGGCGGCAAGGTCAGTAAAGGAGGACTCCACGCATCCGTGGCAGCTCGTTCAAGAATCAAACAGGGAAAAGGATACATGTATCCTTGGCTTCTCGCGACGCTTTGTAACAGTGTTTAAAGTGCCCAACGGCTCCATGGTGATACTTCTTCAGGAACACTTCCAACTTTGAATGGTAAGGCGGTGAGCGAACAAACGTTCAGAAACACTAAAAGCACTTAAAAGTGGGCCTGAGGATCACCACTGAGCACAAAAGGCCGCCAGATCGACAAGCTGAGTGCGGAGATGACCAATCAGAAATTGGCCGATCTCAAAACCAAACTTTTTCTGTATTTCGTAAATCATTTCCCACGTCCAATACGTACGATTTAAACAACGCCGCAACGACTTCTTAAAGCTGCAAACAAGCACAAAAAAGAACACCGCCCATTTGCCCAACCCCAAAGGTCCAAGAAAGATTCCCTGTACTTGCACAAACAAGAACGATGTCGAAGTCATATTCCCCACCTTGACGTGCTTCGTCCGGTTGAGCAGCCGCTCCGTACAGCTCGCGCGCGCGCCCGTACTCGCCCTCTCCGATCTCAAAGTCGATGTACGCTTTTCAGAGCAGCTCCGGCGTGTCCAGCACCGGCTGCGCGATCGCCAGCTCGAAGATGCCGCGCGCGCGGTCAAACTCGTTGAGCGTCCGCTCTAGTTCCGCAAACTTGGTCCAGGCGTAGCAGCTGCTAGGCGCCCACTCTAGATACTTCTCGTACAGCTGCCGGCACCGGTCTACCTCGGCCGGCGTCAGCTCGATGCGATGTACGTCCGGAAGATCTGCACAGCGAAAAGGAAGGGCGTCCGAAAGGGTCCAAGAAGCAGCGGAACAGAAGCGGAAAGAACAGGAGGAGAATAAGAGGGCAAACTACCTTTGGGTCTGTTTGGCGTCTTCCACGAAAATACCAATCTGGGGTAGAACAACATGGATGTCTTAAGAAGTTAAGCAAAGCAATATATCTCCGTCTATCTCAGAGGCCACAATGCCAGGCAGAATGTATATTGCTCTTTCGATCATGTGTGGGAAGGACCATGGAGATAAACGTCGCAGCCGTCTGTGTCCTGCTGCACGAGCACAGCCGATGTAACCAGGAACCAACATCCCCACACGACCAAAAAAAGAAGTGCATCTTTTTAAAACCGCATACTAGACGATTGCAGCCCGCAGCACGCACCTTGTCTTTGGGCGCCATCCCAAGGGCAGTCCCCAGAATCTTTCGCGCTGCCGCAAGGTCCTTTTGCCGGATCTCGAACTGCGCGGCCATGATCCAGATCTTGCTGAAGCTAAACTTCTTGTGGGGTATCATCCGCAAACACTCGCGGTAGACGTCCCGCGTCCGCTCCGGGTCGTCCGCCTCTAGTTCCTCGTACAACGCGTAGTTGATCCTGGATATAGAGACCGGGACCAATTGAGAAACCATCTGATATACCTTCTGATCGTCGGATACTGGTCTCTCTTTAACCAGAGACTTTCGAAAGCGACGAGCTATCTGTAAAGTGGCACCTGGTCATTGACGTGTTGCCTGTGGACAACCGTCAAGACGAAAAGGACAATGATCAAGAGTTTGCACAACATCCAAGCGATCGTTTCCGTGCTGGTAAAAGCAAACCAACACAGTCAACAAATGTACACTTTTTTTAAAGAGCGGAGTTGAACGCGTGTGCTGGCTTACCACAGGTAGATGTATCTTTGCCAGTAGCGCTTCTCCTCTGCAGGCGGGATGTTTGCAATGGCCCTCTCGTACACCTCCCGCACCTTCTCCGTGTCGCCGTTGCTCTCCTCTAATCGCACGTAGTCGAACCACGCGTCGTAGTTCAGCGAGTTCTTCTTCACGTCCTCCTCGTATTGGAACCTGGGGGCAGCAGTAAGGCCGTTCAGTAAGTGTGTGAAGTCATTTCGACGCATTCGTTGCTTGTCCCGTCGTATTTCGAATTCTTCTTCAACGAATGACGAATGTTCAAAAGGAAGGATGATGATAGTCTGCAAGCAATTTCATCACACTTATCAGCTATACACCGGTTCCGTTACTAATACTAAGTGAACGGGCGAGTGCTTGAGGCTAATGAGAGTGTACCAGGAGTGCAACAGGAGCAGAGATTTTTGCAGTCATGTGAAGTTGCGGGTATTCCATAGGGTAATTGTCTGTTAGTCAGTCAAGGTACACTACAATGCTGGGGTTTTGCGTAAGACATCAGTGTAAAGTGGATTGAAAGCAGCTAGAGTCGCCAAGGTTGTTCTGGATCAAGTTGCACGAATACATCACCAGTGACTCTCGGATGTATGAGCTTCATAGGTTTGCAGCCAGAGGAGTTACAGATTCATCGAGATTGTAAATTCTATGGGTGTTGTTCCGCCGCTGCATGGTGTTGCCATTTGTCCACATCCTTATAATGGCCAGGCTGCATGCTTTTTGGCGTTGTAATCATATGGTATACGCTGCACTTTGAGCTAGCTAAGGCAGTACTGCACATCGATCCTGTCAAGTCGTAGTTCATCATTGTTTTGTTATGGTTTAGGACGGCCGGCAGCCCGGTAGGCCTGAGACAAATGCGTAATCCTAGGAGCGTTCTTATGTTGTATGAAGTACATGCTGGGCCCAGCCTTACTTGCCTACGAGACCCCAACACGTCTTAATCAATACCCATGAAGTGCATATATGGTAATCACTAATGCCGCGGCATGTCAAGTTTTATAATATGGCTCACACGTTGTTGAATGATGTTCTCTTTTGATGATGCTGCCTAGCTGAGCGCCCTCGCCAGTGCGCCGCCATGGTCATGCATGTGCGTACAGGACTCGTAATATTGCTCGTGCGGTGTTTACTAATGGTAAAAGAAACCTCGATGAACTGAATGGTATGACGGTCACAATACATGCCGCGGCCCTACTGCATAAGTTACCGAAATGATTTGAAATTGAGCATATCAACCGTTGAACGGCTCGATCATGTAATTCACTGAACCAGATAAGTAAACGGGATAAGTTGGACAGATTGCCCGGCGCGCTGCATCCAGCGAGATCCGACCGATGGACAATGGAAAATTTGGCCTGCGCATACGATCAAAGGGATCCACTAAATCATGCCGCGTACAGTAACTTGCAGCGGCCCCCTTCTTTCTGGTAAGTTGCAGGGCCCAGTGCAATGATTCAACTCGATTACAGAACACTTGAACCCGTCAATCTGACGGGGCCGACAATGTGCTGCACTCTGCACATCAGGGGTCGCCAGGTATACTAATAAGTAGATGCAGGACAGAGCCAACATGTGTATCCCGTGGTAGCTGTGATGTACATACGAAGTGTTGCCCCGTCAAGTTGCCTCTCCTCCTTCGAGTTTCTGCTTTTTCCACCGGTACGCAGCTTCCAGAATCTTAAGATTTGGCCGGCCGCCTGCCTCATCGGGGAAGATGTAGTCGTAATACTCCTCCATGCCTTGCGGCGTGTTATCTGCCGCTAGGATCGGCCGTTTCCGCTTCACCTTCTTGGGCATTTTCGCCTCTACCTCCTGCGCCTTTTCAGCGTCCCCGCTACCTTGCTCAAAGTCCCTCCAGGCCTCCAGCAACAACACTCTTTCTTCCTTGAGATCCGGAGACGCGGCCTTGAGGGACTCGTGGGCGCGCTCGTAAACGGCGCGCGTGCGTGCGTCCCTTTCTCGTTGTTGGTCTTCTAGTAGACCATCGTCGGGGTCCCGCTCTTGCTCTGCGGCCTCAATCTCTTCTTCGAGGGCAACGCTGCTCTCGAATTGGGCGTAGCTCATCCACACCTACAGAGTGAGAGGGCGGCAGAGTCAGTAAAGGAGGGCTCAGCGGACCCATGGCAGCTCCTTGGTAGCACTTCTATGATGAATGGGCGCGATAGGGCAAGAACAAAACGTTCACGTTCGTTGCACCTAAATTGGACTCCTTTTTGCACCTGAAAGACGGAGGACTACAGATGTGCAAGCTGAGGCCCACGTACGTTAAAACACCACATGTTTTCAACGATGACACAGATTCCCGACTACTGCAAACACGCAGCAAATGAACAGCGCCACATGACCAGACAAATTCTGAAACAGAATTCATTACTTGCACGGCGACATTTCAGTCCCCACCTTGACGTGCTTGGTCCGGTTTAGCAGCCGCTCGTACAGCTCGCGCGCGCGCCCGTACTCGCCCTCCCCGATCTCGAAGTCGATGTACGCCTTCCAGAGCAGCTCCGGCGTGTCCAGCACTGGCTGAGCAATCGCCAGCTCGAAGATGCCGCGCGCGCGGTCAAACTCGTTGAGCGTCCGCTCTAGTTCCGCAAACTTGGTCCAGGCGTAGCAGCTGCTAGGCGCCCACTCTAGATACACTTCGTACAGCTGCCGGCACCGGTCCACTTTGGCCAGCGTCAGCTCGATGCTGATGTACGTCCGGAAGATCTGCACAGCGAACAGGAAGGGCGTCCGAAACGGTCCTAGAAGCAGCGGAACAAAAGGGAAACACGAGGGCAACATAACCTTGGGTTATTTTTGGGGTGTTTCCACGAGATACCTTTTCAAAAGTCACACTACGAAGAAGTTACATTGATATACGCAGAGCATACGAGTAGGAACCTAAACCAACTGCTTCGGAGCTGACGCCTTGCTGGTCCAGAACCTACAAGGGCAGGCGAATGTCTGCCCTTTCATTGACTGAGTGGGAAGGACCTTCGAGCGATCAATAACCATCGTAGCAGTCTGTGACCTGCTGAGAGGCACAGCCGATATGACCAAGAACCAGTATCCCCACTCGGCCAATAAGCACCAGTGCAAGTTTCAAGCCCGCCTGCCAATCTACGAAGGCAATGGTACGCACCTTGTCTTTGGGCGCCATCCCGATGGCGGTCCCCAAGATTTTCCGCGCTGCCGCGAGGTCCTTTTGTCGGATCTCGAACTGCGCGGCCATAATCCAAATCTTGCTGAAGCTGAACTTCTTGTGCGGGATCACCCGCAAACACTCGCGATACACGTCGCGCGTCCGCTCCGGGTCGTCCGCCTCTAGTTCCTCGTACAGCGCGTAGTTGATCCTGCATACAGGTAGAAAGAACAATTGAGTGTATGCTCTACTGTGCATAGCCTTCTTTAAAGCCTTCTTTCCTTGTCCTTCCCTCTGATCGTCGTGACCTCTTCTTCCTATCAAATGCCGCAGACTCGAGGAGACGCACAATATCGATAGTAGCACTTGGTCGAGGACGTGTTGACTCTGTACAGCCGTCAGTACGAAAAATGATACTATTGACAAATCGCCAGAACGCCCCATGTGTTTGTTCCCTCTTCTGCCAATCTCCAGATTGTTCCAACACGGCTGATAGTAGCGTTCCGTCCAATCTCAAACCCTCATCATGGAGCGAAAGTGAATAGGGTGTACTGCCTTACCACAGATAGATGTATCGCTGCCAGTAGCGCTTCTCCTCTGCGGGCGGGATGTTTGCGATGGCCCGCTCGTACACCTCCCGCACCTTCTCCGTGTCGCCGTTGCTCTCCTCTAACCGCACGTAGTCGAACCACGCGTCGTAGTTCAGCGGGTTCTTCTTCACGTCCTCCTCGTACTGGAACCTGAGGGCAGAGTTAACGCCGTTCAGGAACTATTTGAACACACTTCAATACGTTGCTTGCCCCGTCCTCGTTCGATTTCTTCGACGAATTGCAAGAGGACGAATGATGATAGTCTGCAAGCATTTTCGTTGCAGTTGTCAGCTAAACACCGGATCCGTCACCAGTAAGGCCTTGTCCTGAGCGAAGCAGCGTCAAATGGGAAGATCGCCGATTCTGCAATAGCCAAGTCTTGTGACGTTCCACCCTCGTCAAATCACTGCTGCTCAACTAAACCCTCTCCCGATGTTCAACATCAATTTCGTCCTCTTCACTGCCGCTCGCACTCACCGCCGCTTGGAGACGATGACGTCCTCGATGGCGTCCCGGTTGCCGTACTGCTTCTCGAAGGCGGTGAACTGCTTGTACAGGTCGTCGGCCTGGCCCTTGGGGATGTGGTCCAGCGCGTACTTGTAGATGGCGCGCGCGCGCTCAAACTCCTTGCAGTGCTCCTCGAACTTGGCGAACGCCACAAACAGCTCCTCCGTCTGCACCACGTCATCACACCCGTCAAAAGCCTGCGTACTGGTGAACAGTGCAGTTCGTGCTGTTGGAATTGGTCCGCGAGAGAGAGGAAGAGAGACGACGGAAGTTGCTTACACATGTCCTGGCAACGACAGGGCCGAGAGCTCTCACGTCAGTGGAAGATGCAAAGCAGAGGACTCTGCTAATCGTCCAAAGCGTTTTTTTGTAATTGATCCCAAATAGTCGGACTGGTAAACACTAAGTTAAAAAGCAGGGCGAATCGCTAAAAGCGGAAGGCAACGAGTAGGCTTCAGAGGCAGAAGAGGCGGCTCAACAAATTAATGCTTTCAAGAATGAATGAGCAAGACTTCAAAAACGGCAAGTAATTGAGATACGTACGAAAGGGAGCCGTCATTCGGCATTTTAACCAAGCCCTGAGGATTTTAGAGGAAGGCTCGACCAGGGATCGATCAATCGTCATATGCTTCAAGTCATGGTTACACGAAAAAGGGCGAATAAGGATGATGGGGATAGGTATCGTCTTTCGAAAACAACCGAGCATCCCACAACTCCTACCTGGCCATCCTCTCCCAGCTGCTCGATCGACCGTTCATACACTGCGCGCGCTCTCGCCACCTCCCCGTTCTTGACTTCGAACTTGGCATACTTTATCCAAGCCCGCACAGTCGGATGGCACTGCGTGTACCTGTGGGAACAAGGGCCTTCAGCGAAATGGGGCCCTCTGAGTTGCCGACACCTCAAACTAGAATTCTAGGCCCCGTGCTGTGTCAATTTGCCCGCGGCTGGTGTATGGTGATGATTGAAGCAAGTCCGGAAAACAGGCGCCAGCAATTTAAGTGTAAGCGGACCCTGCGCCAGTTTCGCAATGAGCATTACAACACCTTGCCAAGTCTGCGAATCCTCTAATCAACGGCCTTCCTTCTGGGCGCTTGAGTGTGCGCTTGCGTCCTTCAAAACTTCATGACTGAATTTCGCGCACAAACACGATTCTGGAAGCCCAAAATCAAGTGCTTCATCGCGCTCGAAAAGCAGTGAGTGCGGCTGCGATTGCACGACAGAGGGCCTTACCGCTCGAAGATCTGGCGCGCCCGCTCGACCTCGTTGTAGCGCAGCTCCATCTTGATGTACGCCGTCCAGCCGTTGTGGTCCGGCTCCCACTTCATCCAACGCTCAAAGATCTGTGCGAAACGGCATCCGGCGTGTGAGTTCCTGACTGCTAGGATAAACCACAAATGCTCCACGAAGCCGTCATAACGGTCGCTGTTATCGCAAAGGGGCTAGATACCCAACCAAACACCGCTGGCGTGAAACTGCAGTGACTCTGGCCGAAGATAATCATCCTCAAAGCCCGCTAGGACAAAATCCGCACCCTTTCGAACAACATCCGCCAACTCTTGCAGCCCTCCGCATTGCAGTTGCCAACACGCAAGTATGCAACCTATCCAATAAAGGGCACTTCGCACACGAGAAAGCCTTCCTCAGCAGTAGCTGTCTAACATTGGTGGTCACCTCAGTTCAAATATTGTGAAACTTCGAACGCTCCTTCTCAAGTGTCGACCTTCCGTATCCAATCTTGGACGGACAGATCAGCCAAATACTTTGATTGTACGGTCCGAGATGGTGTACTCGGCACGAAATCCGGCTTAGAAAGGCTTCAGCTTTAACGCAAGAGCTGTGACGTCATCACAACCGACTCGAGGTCACCCACCTGGCGCGCGCCGGCGACGTTGCCGAGCATTTCCTCCATGTGGATGTACTTGTACCAGAGCTGGTCCACGCGCGGCAGCAGGGACACCGCGCGGTCCCACACGTTGCGCGCGTGGTTCACGAACTTGTTCTTCATCTCCATCTCCGCGTACTTGAGCCACAGCGTCAGGCTGCGGTAGTCCACCTCCAGCGCGCGCTCCCACACGGACCTGGATGATCGAATTCGGTGTTTCGACGGGGTGTCTTTGTGTTGATCGTTCACAAACTTTTCGAGCGAGTCTAACTCCTGAAACAAAAGGCAGTGCAGCACTCTTCCTGACAAAAAATCAAAACGGAGAGTGATTGTAAAGTCAATTGGAACAAGTTATGGTGCTACCTGGGCTAATGGTGTCGGTACGAAGAGGTGATTGAGAAGTCAAAACGTAACTGAGTAAGTTATGTGCTGCCAGGCTTATCGTGTAATCAAGGTGTAAGTATCCATCCGCTTTCACCGCCGTTGATACACAAACCTCGTGTTCATACATGCCAGCCAAATCACGAACTTTAACGGGCCAATGGGGGCATTTGATGAGGTGGCCAACAATGGCTTGTGACAGGTACAATCAAAGTTGGATATACCCTCGCTGTAGCTTTTCCAGTAGCACAAACAAATATTTGTGAGCGTGAGTGGGCATGCAAGCACTGGCCCACTCCACTGTTAAAAGCATGCGGTACCCAACCGAGCAACTCCGACACCAAACGTCTTTGGCCGCCAACTGGTAAGCGCACCCCCCCGGATCAACGCCCGCTCTCACCTGGCCCTGGGAAAGTCCTTTTGGCTCTCCTCCCATTGCGCGTACTGCACCCATTTGCTCTGGTTCCATCGCACGCGCCGTACCGTGTCCTCAAACTCCTTGCGCTTCCGCAGCCGGTATTGCGCGAGCTCGTCCGCATCGGTAATCTGCTGCTTCGGCGGCCTGGGAGGAGGGCAGAGGAACGATCTTTTAGAAAGATTTCTTTCACTGCGTTGCTCTACTTTGGTACGTCCAACAGAAACCAACGGCAGCATTGCGCACCCGGATAATCGCAGAACCGCAGAATCAACGCCGTGGTGAGTTCACAGAACTCTTCCGCTCATGTGTAGCCTGGCACGGTTGCGACTCTGGTCAGAGCGCAATTAGAAGCATTATGAGCACCACCAGTCATCGGGCTGCAAAATCTAGACTTCGGAGTATCACAGGCAGCCTAGACCCATGGACGAATTGATTGAGCGGAAGATGGATGTTCAAGTTACGGTGCAGGGATAGTCGGGTCACAAGCGTGCAGGGATACTCGGGTCACAAGCAAGGCGGAGAGCAGTGAAGAAAGTGGCCAGCTCAATTTCTGCAACAAGGTTGCAATATGACGGTTTGTCGACCAGTTCACGATTAAAAGAGACACTCAATGATACTAAGGAAGATACTTACACCCCTTCAGACCCCTGAAGATGAGCTCAACAAATGAGGGGTTTTAACCTGTTTTGGGCAGCACTGTTTGACGCAACATTGAGACCTCGCAAACCTCAGGAAGAGTCAATACAATATCTGAAGTGACAAAACTTGGTAATGGTGCAGCTATGCAGAGCATCCTGACCGCTTGAAAAGGACACCACCCAATGCAAAAAGCGCCACCCACTACTCGACAAACTCCCTCTTTCTCCAAAAATAAAACCCTAATTCCTGCTTACAAAGCACAAGCTAGTGTATTCCTCACCTGATCTCCTGCTCCTGGTGCTCCCTCGCCTCCCTCAGCAGCTGCTCCGCTGTGATCTGCACCGGCGCTGGCGTCTTATTCTTAACCTGAGTGGGCCGCGGCAGGCGCACCTCGGTGTCTCGCTTGGGCAGGTAGGCCAGGCTCGGGTCGCCCTCGCGACTCCCCATGGCTGCGAATTGTGTCCTAACTCAAAAACCTTCTACAGTTTGTATGCAGGGGTTGCGGCCTGCACAGGCTGCAGGGCGTCAAGGCGCCCTGTTCAAATTCACTTCCAAGTTGTTCTCTCGAGTCTGCACAATGGAAGGCTGTCCATCAAGCTCAAGAAAAGGCATCTTTAGGGGGCTCTTTCAGAGTCTTCAGGACCCATCCCGGCGATCTGATTGGTCATCTAACTCCGTCACCGTGTTTTCAGACTCTGCGAGTTCACCGCAGCCTGGATGGTGTTAATTATGGGCCAAATTTAACATCTGAAATGGTCGCCGCTTAACTGCTGCTTAAAAGTTTCAGACCTGGAGAGTACGCTAACTTAACCGTCATCTACGATTTTCACTTGTGCCCTTAAAGGGCGACAAGAGGCATCCTGCATGCGGCCTATATTAAATGCACCATATCTACAGGCTGGTGTCAAGCTGTCAGCCTTGTGATGCTTTCTCATTTGCTGGAGGTTGCATTCGGAGATTGCTGCAAGGCGCTAGGAAAGGTGAGGTGAATTGACCTGACAAGTGATGTTACTCCTTGTATACACATGCTGTGGGTGTTGCAATGACCTGTAATCGTCCGCAATGACCTGTATTCGTCTGCAATGTTCTCTTGGGGGCAAGGTACTCTGGTTCTGAGACTACTGAGGGAGCGGCCTGAAGGCAGTATATGTGCATTCTCTAAGGAAGAGCTTCTCCAGCTTAGGACACTTGCATGATAAAGTCTTGACGGCGAAGCTGAAAGCCAATGTGCATGAAGGAGCTCTCTGCCTGATTCCCTCTCCGTCCACCTGGTTTATGTGAGTCTTATTATTATGAACAAAGAAATGATTGTCCTGATGGCTGGACAATTGGAGAAACGGCAATGTGATGAAGTAAATTACAATAGGAGTAAGAGCTCCCGAAGCTGACGTCCCTTCCGGAAGACACTCTTGTTATCTTGAGGACACCCTCCTTTACTGTTGTTGGTTCTGACCGTTCTGCAGTGATTGTACTTGAGGCAGAATCGGGAAACGCAACATTTCAACCAGCTGGCAGACTTGTGGAAGTTGTTACAAGAACTAATTAGTACCTTCTTTAAGGTCATTGACTTCACTGTTGTATTTGCAACTCCTCTGAACATGACTTTCTGTGCTTTTCCAGGAACTGTTGAAGGTGTCAAGAGGAGTGCTGCCTTCACTGACACGTCGCTGGAGCGACTACTATGCAACTTGGGCCGACCAGGAGCGATAAGAGAACGTAAGCTCTTACAGTCTCCGATAATCAGTTGCTTCTGAAGTGGCACACACGTCCAGCTTTATATGTACAGCGGTGGTTCTACGCAGTGGTTCTACGCAGGTGAACCCCACAGCGCACATGTATGCACTAGACACAAACAGACACCAAGTATCCTTGATGGAATCTGTATCTAGAATCCTCACTAGACCTTAGTAAGCTCAGACTCGCACACTGGAAGCTGTAGCCACATGTGACAGGTTGTGAATGTAGATTTGTCATGCTGGCAGTCTGAATCTTGCGTCTATAAATGCTAATACCCAAGTTTCAAATCTTGATGCAAGTCCGAACGCTAGAGCTTGATTCCAAGATGGAGGACTTGCCCACCAACTACTACACCATCAAGACTGGCTTCAATCGCTTCTGCACTGATGGCACATTGCGAGCAGCAATCCCGGAGATTGTGCAGAATGCCACGCGTGCATCCTTCGAAGCTTCAAGCGTTGCCAACCTGTACGTTCTGCAGTGTTTTGAAAACAACCCGTTGAATCTAGCTTTCGGCCCTCTGGATCAAACGTTTTTCTATCAAGTGATTTCGTCAATCACCGTAGGTGGGCATGGTCCTGCGAATCAGCTTCCTAATTTCACCCCCTGGCAGTTGCAGCATTTCCGCACCTGACAATCCTACGAGCAGTGCGCGATGAATATTTGCAGCTTAGACATCCCATCAACGCCCCGCAGCCGGCTTTTGCATCACGAGCAGGTCATCCGCAGATCTTCAATCGGATAGCCAGACAGTACGTCACCAACTGCGCCAATAATGTCGCGCAGAATCTAGAAAGAAGAATCAAGGGATATCTGGGCTACAAAGCTGCTAAGTACAGTCTGACACCGCCAAACACTCCTGCACAGCACCAAGGCGCCTGGCGTAAAATTAGAGAGCGGAAGCTGCTTCGGACAATGGTCGATTTCTTCTACGACCATTTTGTCGTCTTCGACTCGTGGACGCTCCCGTCACTTCAGGAGTTTCTTGCTTCCAACCGTGCTGGAATCCAACATTTTGAGGTGCTCTCGATTGCTAGCATGGGGCCTCTTGGTGTTTTCTGGACGCAATGGTCGCTTCTTTTTGACAAGTTGATAGCCCGCTTCGGTTTTCCGCGCATGGGGGGCGCCTTTCGAGATCCATTTGCCAACTGGACCGAATGTCTGACATTGTTACGGCAGTGTCTGCGATCGTTTGAACGACACGGAGGGGAAGCGCACTTCGAAGGACTTCCAGGGTTCCCAAGCTTTTCTCTCCTTCCGTTGCATTCAGCACGGAAAAAGTACGTGACACTGGATTCTTCTTCGTTGTCGGAGGTTTGCGCATCGACTGGGATATAGCCCGGTCCTGCAAACAATCCATTTTCAACGCTGTTTGATCTGGACCTAGTGAGGCTCGGGGGACCCGTGAATGGCATTGCAAAGGTCATCCGTCAGATCAAAACGGACGGTGTTGGCGTCAGCGTGGTTGTGGAGAGGGTGGGGTTGGGGAGAAAGCGGAAGCAGGGACCCGTGCTCTTTGCTGCGCAGAACAACAATCTGCCTGCTGTACCGGATTGAATGGCGTCTCCCGGATGCCGGATCGTCGGTATCGATCTGGAAAGCGCTTCCTGTTTTACGCGGCTGTTCAAGACGGGGGACAGCATGGTGCGGAGACGCAGCAGTCGATCAGATGTTCATCGAGAGAGTACCGCGAAATGTCGGGTTTTGCAAGTGCGAATCGACGAACCGTCATCGGGGTGGATGGAGAACGATTTAGAGGTGCGGGATTGGGCACGTGAAGCCCCTCGTAAAGGCCACGGAACGGTGGATGGTTTCAGCGAACGTCTGGATGCGGAGTTGGCAAAAATGGACCATCTTCTTGCGTTTTTTGGTCAGAGACGATGGGCGAAATCCCGGTGGGCGGGTTGGATGGGTAAGCAGAGGGCGATGAACACGCTAGCAAGTTGCATTCACGGAGATGCAGCCCAGCTCGTCGTAGGCTTTGGCGATGGCCGTTTCAACCCACACATTCGTGGTCATCCGCCCGCTGCGGTGAAGGGTCTGAGGCGGGCGTTGACAAGAAGAGGTCGCATGATTGATGTCAATGAATACATGACTCACCAGTCAGGTAAGTGGATTCATTTTTGAAGTTTAATCCAGAAACAACCATGTAAACGTTAAAGAAGTAGGTGACAGTGTCGGACTATCAAAATATCCGAGTGATACGTTGAAGGTGGCTTCAACCAATGATCTACCGCTCAAATTGAATGTCAAATCGTGTTCATTTGGACACTTTCAATATGGTTAATAGACGGGCCACCCAGAAGCCACCCAGAAGCCATCAAGAAAAAAGACTCATCTTTGCCGCTGCCAGATTCAGCCATGCCAATTGCCATGCACATTATTTGCAAAATCAGCACGAAACATAATTCTTTGTTCACTAATAACTGCAGCAGATAAACTGAATGAACTTTGAATGGTGATGCAGCCGCCGCCATTGGTTGTACAAGTCACTGATGCCAGGTCAAAGAATAGATTTTGATAGATGTTGGCACCGTACTCGGGCTAGTCTCATTCTTTCGATCACTGTAAGCGAATGGGATTGAGAAAATATTTGCTTGTAACAGGTATGCTCAGAGTGTTCGACCACAAATCTGCGAGCGACCCATCACTACGTGCGAGACGGCGACGGAGCTCGGAGCGCCAGTTACTGGGTTAGGCCCCGGAACATGGAATATCGGAATACGGAATACCCATTTTTGGGAGCGGAAGAATCCGGAATACCCAAATTTGGGCCTTGGAATACTAGAATACAGAATACAGGGCTCTTCCGAGCATACTACACAAACGACAAACGACGGAAAAATTCTTGACTTCGAAGTAAAAAGACTTCCAAAGCATGCTTCGAACGGAAGAAGATTGTAAAAGAACTCACACGACAAGCGCACTCCTTTCGTACCTTTCAAAATTGTCAAAAGTCACATTTGCGAAACGGAATACAAAATACTTGAGCACCCTGGAATACGAAACACTGCCTTTTTGAAAGCTTGGAATACAGAATACTGGGGGTCAAGTATTCCATGTTCCGGGGCCGACTGGGTGCGGGCGTGTGCCAACCGGCTTTGTCGCATCCGGCACTGGCACCGGGATAGGAATGCTTCGCGTAATATGCTGCCGCATATTTGGCTTTACCAATATGCACACAACGGAGCCAGACCCGTTGCCATTCCAATAGCACTGAGCTAGAATCTTTTGAGCTGCGGCCCGGCGTCTAGGCGGCAAACCAGCACACGGAGTCTTTGGTCGCGCGGACGGGTACCGTCCTCCGTGGACACTCGGCGTGGACAGGTACCGCCAGGGTTCCCGCGCGGTACCGACCTGTAGCGGACGCCGCGTGGACGGTGCCGGTAAATTCACTGAACAGTGACAAGACTGCCGGTTTCCAGCGTTTCCAGTCAATATCGGCCCAAAACCGGCAATCCGTCGTCACTTCTGCCATCCCCCCTGAAAAAATAGCCAGCTAGAGTCTTTACATGCGTCGCCAAAGTCCTCTTCTGCCCTTTTCAACCTCCAGACCTCCAGCCTCATGCCCAACCGTCAGCTTCCATACCTTTGGCAGGTTTTCACCCTTACACTCTACAGTTTTGAGTGCGGTCACAGCGCAATGGACCTCTCAGGCGTGCACTCTCAGCTGCAGTCTCTGAAGGTGACCTCAAGGCAGGGCTCTGGGCAAAAAGCTCTGGAAAGGTACAAAGCTTTTGGTATCTTCCAAACTCTCCTTTCCAGCAAAT